CACCCAACAATAAAGTGATGGTATGCGCTGAGAAGCTATATCTTGATTAAATTTCAATAAAAAGGGATGTTATTTGGACCGTGAGATAAATAATTTAGTAATAACACCACAATGAAATCCTAGTTAAAATGAAAAGGTGTCCTTGTTTAATGGCGGTGGTCCTCAGAGATAAGTATCTGTATTTACTTACAGAGATGATAGCGTATACATATCTATTGATGTCAGTGAAATTTAATAACGGAATACTCTTGTAATAATACTATGTGCAGAGCATCTTTAAACACATCAAAGATTTATTTTTAGGGAGATTTTGATTTTGATTTCTTTGGAAAGAATTTAAAACATATGATTGACCTTATATCTGTTGGAGATCTGATGACATCATTTTGTTTTTAGACGATGTGACTGATATCGTGATCTGTTTTTGATCTTCTCGGTGCGCAGGTTCAGGAACACACATGTTATCATATCAGCGTATCAGATTTATATAATTCAAGTAAATGTTTCAAAGATGAGACGGAGATAAATAAAGCCATATGATTCCTTACATTTGAGAAAATCGTTTTAAAAAGGAGGAAATGAAATGGGGTTTACCATTTTACTGCACCAAGTCGGCTAATGGAGACGGAAATGAAATGAAATAAAATGAAATGGAGTTTAACGTCCTACTATTCTGCTCCTAAACTGGGCTAATGAAGACGGGCATACGCCATACAGTGTGCTATGAGGGAAATTTTGCCCGGGCAGCGGCACTACGGCCTACTCTTATATCGAATTCCAACTGCCAAGGGATCAGTTACGTGCACGGGACCTCGGTTTTTCGTACCATTCGAACGACTAGACAGCTGTCCTTGTCAGGCCCTCCGCCCTGCATCACTGACAGCGGAAATTCGGGTTGTCTTCACGTCTGAACGAAATGGAGACCATTGACAAAGGATAAACACGCTGGAAAATCCTTAGGAACTTGCTCAGCCAACACCCGGGATCGAAGCCGAGATTTCTTGGTTACTCATTCGCTGAGCTAGCGCCAAGGGTTCATTTACCTGAACTGTAACGGGTACAAAGGGCTCTGTTTAATTTCCATCGGAACGAACTCGACCTGCACCAATGACAAGGGGAAACACCCTGGAACATCCCGAGGAACCTTCTTGGCTAACACAGGGATTAAACTCGGGTTCTCCCGTTTAAAACGGGGTAGTTAGATAGTTACGAATTAAGCGAGGTCAAAATCAGAATGCTTTTTCTCCCGGATGAAGAGGGGTTGCGCTGTGTGGGTTGTGCCCTGGCCTGTGACTACTTATAACTACCTGTTGTCATAATTTGAAATTGGATTTCAGAATGATGGAGGTTGTGGGCGATAAGTTTTATCAAGCTCCGGTTCAAAATATGTGGGGTCTACACATACGGGCTGATAGTAAATTGAAAGCGACAGGAGAATGGTATATTAGTATTAGTCGCCACACCTGTAGTCGTGTGATCTAAATGTAACACCTTTATACTACTATCACCTGTCTCCGTGTTATGGTCAGTGACTATGACACATGATGGACATATTGTCCACACTCATCAACTCACTGTCCAGATTGTTTACTTCGACTGAGTATTAGTGCAGAACCGTTGATTATACTACAGGTATTATATACTTCATTTATGAAATATAATATTTACCTGTGTATATGGGATACCTTTGCTAGATATATAATACATGTATGTTATATAGGTATTATAGTATAAGATAATATAAATAGTTTCACTCCAACATAAATCATTCACACAAAAGCGTTGTTTCTTTTACAAAAAAAATCTTCTCCCAATATCGGAGTTAGCAATAAACAGTCATATCATGTGAAAATGAGGTAGTGTTACTCGAGTGCCAAAATGTGGACGAATGTCCAAGTGTCCATATAAGATGTTATTCAGTTATTTATCCTTTTTTTATTTTTCATTTTTTTTTATTAAATATTTATTGTTTAGCAAACTCTCTACAATATGATATAGTAGTAGTTTTGAACTTACATTATACATTATATATTACAAATTATACTACACAGTAAACTCCCCAGCAAAAGCTCAGCTGAAAAGACCTTCAAAATTTTTCCATCTATCTTGAACTTTGTCACCCAATTTAATTTGTTCTTTTTCAAAATAGTATAATAATTCTTTTTTAAATACATTCAGAATTGATTTATTTTCTCTAAGCCTTTGTTTATATAGGTGTAACTTAGCTAAACTATATATCAAATTTGGAATTTTATTATCATCATTATCAATGCCAAATAATGATGTTGGCATCTCACTCACACCTTAATAATTAAAGAATAAGAAAACTTACAGAGAGAATAAACCTGTGTACACATATATATCACAGGACTGTCCTTATTATTATTACTTTGTTAAGGTTTATTTCTGCGTAAAGTTCACAGTTCACCCAATTAACAATTCCTGCGTTTTTATTAAATGAAATCCACCAGCAGCAATTGTGGACGGATGACAGAGGTGAGGACAACACACGTTGTCATTTAAAATAGTGTACAGATAGACCCAATGTAATCTGAATTGTCAAAATGGGCAAAAAAAAAAAACGTTGACGTAATAATGCTTACAAAACGTGACGGGTCCCGGGCACGAAACAGGACACGTTTTACTGCAGGGCTTATCTGTGATTGACATTCAGTTCTCTTGTAGTTTGGATTGTCTGTGCTGTGACCGTTTGCTGTTATCTGTTGCTGGGTAGTTAGACTTGTTGAATGTCCTCTGTCATCCAAAATATTTACAGCTGTCCACTTGGAATAAATGTCAACATTAGTTAATTTCTAACTTGCCGAGGTTGGGTAATCTAGTGGTTTATCGCGTGCTCGTGAAATCATAAGGTCGGTCATTGAGTCAAGTGCCATGGTTTCAAATCCCCGCGTGTACGTGACAAGGAGTAAGGTCGCCTGTCCAACCTCGTGGGCTTTCATCATGTCTTCCGGTTTCCTCCCACTGCTAGACTCCTACGCGCAAGCTAATTATTGAAATAAAATTGAACCATATGGTGGTCCCGAAATGTAATGTTTATGTCGAGTGGACGTTAAACCCCATTTCTCTCTCAATTATTGTACGATAGTTAATTTCAGCCCCCCTATTCTTTCTCTCAATTATTGTACGACAGGTAATTTCAGTTGTGATAACAGATTATCAACTCCCCCAATGAGAGTTTTGAACAGATCCTAAATTGGAGTGCACTCAGAGGTTAATACAGATTAGCCAATGGATGAGTAAGGGTTATCGACTGAGACAGAGGGGTTCAAGTTAGATGAACACCCGAGCTCGTGCAAGGTGTTCAATTGCGCGAGCTCGGGTGTTCATCTAACTTGACCCCGAGGGTCGAAGTTCGATATCTCACTTACACACTGGATTCTTTGTTTTTGTAAGAAGATGAATGAGTGAATGAAAATGGACGGATACGAGAGAGACGAAAATCAGAGGCCCTTTATCACACAAAATAATTTTACCAATTCGTCTATAACAGGTATCAATATATTATTTTGACTGTCACGTATTGTCGTTTATTTAGCAGATTGAGGGGGGGGGGGTGCATAACCTGAATATAGCCAGTGTATACCTGTTTATTTACGATACATACAAATCAGATCATTCAAATTTCAGGTTTTTTAAATACAATTTTAAGGAATTTGGATTGGTATATGGATAAATGTATTTTAAGCCTATTTGCTGTTTTCAGGTTTTCGGCACTTTTTATACGTCAACATGTCGTATATTTATGTCGCTCCCGTCCGGTGTCTACGCCCTGGAGGCTGAACAATTATGGTCATGAGACGAAGAATCCTATTGATTTTCAATGATTTCCGATAATGACTTCCAGATTTGTGGCCCTTGATATTTAATGTTTTGAGTACTCACCGTCAGTATAGGGCAGAATTAGAAGCCAAATAAGTATGACAATTACTTAATGGGTTGTTATTCGTACTTATATTTTAATGTGTTGTAAATGTTTTCCTTACCGACAAGGGGGGTTCGATGGCCGAATGGTTAGCGCGTGCGCGTTGTATCATAACGTCTGTCATTGAGTACGTGACAAGGTGCAGGGTAGCCTGTCCAACCTCGTGGGTTTTCTCGGGGTCCTCCGGTTTCCTCCCACTGCTAAAGACCCCTACGCCCAAACGAATTATTGAAATAAAATTGAACCATTTTAGTCCCGAAATTACCTCTTTTGTGTCGAGTGGACGTTAAACCCCATTTCTCTCTCCTTCCCCACAAAAGAAAAAATATGCGACACCCTTATTGACTGCCGGACGACTTAGCTGCTGTGGGCGTATGTTTCGTTGTCTGGCAACCTATCTTTAAAATCCACAACAGGCCAATGAATAATATAATAATTATTTGGTGTGAATGGGGTATGCTGCATTGACTGGAATACGTTTTACATTCACGATTTGTCAGCCACAGAACAAAATAACCATGTACGAAAAAATAGCATGTGCGATGATGTAGGAAAGGTGTTTTACAAGATTACAAATTATCTAAAACATGGCCAAACAGAAATTTATCCCAGTTCGCTAGGTTTTGTGTATTTGTTCCTTATACTATTGGATGCGTTTTCTAGCTAATGATACTATTTCACAATCTACATTGAAAAAATATTTATTTATTGTTTTAACTGCATGTATTTATATTTTGTAACTAACACGGTTGATCAGTAAGTTGAACACCCGAGTCAGAACAAAGGGTCCAGTGTGTAAAAATTATTACACCAGCATGCTTTTTTTTTTGGCAAGATATGACACACAGATTTACCGTTTGCGATTTATTCATGCATTCTAGAGTGGCTCAAGGGAGATAACTACAATTTGCTGAAGGTTTTTCTTTCATTATCTGGAGAAAGACCACATTTATTTTCTCCATTCATGTCATGATACGACTGCCCAAAAATCATGAATATTAAATAAACCCTTCTGAAAAAAAATTAGTGGAAATAACTAATTGCAAGAGACAAGACATTTAAATTGAACCATTATGAGTATTTTATTTCTGTGCCTTGTTTTATACAAACAGCCACTAAACAAATAATAGAAGTCATCAATATTGATAATATAAAACATAACATACAAATAATAAATACGCAATCTAATTAAAATACAGATCTATATTTCATTTCGTTTTTTTACTCTCAATGGCCTACACTATATGAAGACTCTTCCAGATCCTACTGTTGTGAGGTCAAGTAAAACAAAATTTTGAACTATAAAAACGAAACAGAATAGGATCTGTGTTTTAATCAGATTGAATAAACACATAGCATGGGTTTTTATAATAGTATTAATGGAAGCACTTAAACCAAATATAAGATATATATTCTCAAATTTATTTGAATTCTAATACTTGTTAGTGCAAGGTCCATGCTATTAGTAAAGACTATTCAAAATACATCCATTAACTTGAATTTTTAAGTGGTTACATCAACATCTGGCAATTATTTAAATTAAACTCTTCAAAATTATTATATACAATTTTATTTGTCCATAATTTAAATAATAAAAATAATCATTGGGATTTTGTCACTTTGTCCATTTCATCAAATAAAGAATAAATATCATTCAGAACTTTTTAATAATTTCCAACACCCACAGCTCTCACTTTAAATTTCATTACCAGGGGAATATGACCTAAGGGGGTTGTGGAGATCATTATAGACAAAAGTATTGAAAAATTCAAAAGAATCAAGAAAATAAAAATAAACAAAGAATGCCACAGAAAGGATAAGAGCAGGATATAGGAAATACATGTAACCAAACCCTCATTCACTGATAACAAAATACAATATATTTACCAATCAATATGATTATACATCAAAAATTACTATCAAAATTATTAACTAAATAAGGCCTGGCACATACACAGGACAAGCTTTGTTTAATTCAAGAAGACCTATAAAGACACTAGCTACTATATACAATAAGCTGGAATGCCCAACCAATTACAACATTATGCTTATATAAGTACTGGAAATTATCACTGGTGTATTGCTAAAATGCCCATTTAATATATACATATACATGTATAAGTTCAGTGGTAGCGCCAGGATTTTCTAGTAGACTCTGAGTCTTCAGCAAAAAATATTCCAAAATACCTTGGGGTAATAAGATTTCTGATATATATTGGATAAGGACACAATCATTACAAATAACTGCATCGCAGCATCTATCAGAATATTGGCTGATTGAGCAAGGATACAACCAGCTACCTTTGAATGGTACTGTTAGTTGGATTTGAAATGTTTATTTTAATGGGAACATTTTAGTTAAAGGCCAAGTTTTAGATTTAAAAGAAATTATTACAGAGCAAAAATATAAAGAAAATATAGCGAGTTTTTGTTCTTGAGATACATAATCTAAAACAGTCTTACAAACATCATATTGGTCAAAAATATCTAGATTAATACATGAAGTTTTACAGTACATCATAAATTGTTAGCTATTTACACATCCCCAAACAAATAACAACTAGTATTTTAGTTATGAACCAAACATTGTTTCATATATAACCATATTATGAATTGTTATAGAATAAAGAATGTTTGTAAACATTTTTCATCTAAAATAAACAAACAAACAAACAAAATGTATTTATATTAGACCATTAAAATGCTACTCTAGTCACAATTAATGTTCATCATTTGAAAAATTTTGAATTCCTTGCAAATACAATACTATGGAAGTTGAATCTCTAATAGGAATATAAGTACAAATATCATTCAATTCCATTCAGTATTTTTAAAGATATGAGGAAGAATTGAAAACTTGTCAACAATCATTTGGTCCAAACAAGCTAGAGCCACCTATAATCTTCACTAAAATCTGTTGATGATCCTCTTTCGAATCCAAGTGAATCCAAATTAAGAGATTATCTACCCTTGATATTTTGATCATTCTTTTCTTAATCAAATGTTAAATAATGCATATGAGTAGACCTTAGTGTGGATTAAGACGTGACAAATCAGTTATTGTCCGGAAAATGCAAAGGGTTTTTAGTCCCCTCCGAAGAACTAGAAACCCTCTTTTTTTGACAGAATCATCTAGTAATGAATGTCCTTTAACCCTGTTTAAACTAATTCTAATTAAGCATGAATATAGAAAAATAATACTTGATATTGAGATACTGAATTTGGAGAGAGTAAAAATATAAAGACTATTTAATATATCAAAAAATATAACAGGTCATTTCTGGGCTAACATATGGTTCAATTTTATTTCAATAATTTGCTAGTGTAAGGCTCTTTAGCAGTAGGAGGACCCAGAAAAAACCCACAAGGTTGGACAAGCAACCCTACCCCTTGTCATGCACATTGTGAAATCAAAAACATACCATTTGACTCAATGACAAACTTTATCATCCAAAGGAAAAGGAACAAAATATGTAAATATGTCATGCTGTAACAACATATAAATATTAGGGTTTTACCTACATACAATATATAAAGCAGGGATCCCTCAAAAACAATTATTAATATATCTATCATCAACATAATTTTTTCTGTCCGGATACCCAAACGAAATAATTTCAAAAAAAGATATTCCCCGACTTGTTTTTACTACAATAAAATATACTACAGGTTTTATAAACAAAATAAATCAAGCCTGGAAATAAGGCACCTGTCACAGACATTGTCAGGCGCAAATTCAGACTTTGCCAGGCACAATCCCTCTGGTACCTATCATTTTATCAGGCAATGATTTATATTTTACCAGTTTTTTTATTTATATCTATAACATATTAGCGGATGACATTGGCATTGCATGGGTTGAGAGTAGTATAACCCCGAAACCATAAGCGGTAGTCCAATGCCATCATGTTATTACCTGGTCCAAGCTACCCCTATACACCACATTTCAGCCTTGGGACACCCCTTGTGTAGCCGCCAACCATGAACAGAAACAGACAAACGACAGTCACAAATATTAGTATAGATGTACAATGTTTAAAATTTCAGGTACCAGTGTTCGACTTTTGACATTATGTCAGGTTCCAGTGTCTGACTTTTGACATTATGTCAGGTTCCAGTGCCTGACTTTTGACATTATGTTAGGTTCCAGTGCCTGACTTTTGACATTATGTCAGGTACCAGTGCCTGACTTTTGACATTATGTCAGGTTCCAGTGTCTGACTTTTGACATTATGTCAGGTTCCAGTGCCTGACTTTTGACATTATGTCAGATACATCAAACACCATAATTTCCAGGCCTGGTTAAAACCAATTGAAATCCCAAGAGATGATATGCTATAAAAAAAAAAAAATCTCATATTACATACATCAGAAAAGAATAATACATGAATATACAATTGTTTATATAATATATAAATATATATTGAGCACTACAACTGAATCTATATTATAATTATATAAACACTATATAAATGAATGACATTATATGTCAAAGCCTTAGCTCTAAATAAAAAATTCGGCTGATCAGTATCTAACCACATATGACTATGTATATTTAACTAACATTTTTATCACTGTTTTAATTCACAATCCATTCTGAAAAGTTCTTCAATAGAAAGGAAATACATGATAATTTGTATATATATATATGATATTCGTGGTGTCTATCTTTAAGATATCTGACTATATCACATGTAATTTAAAGAAAACAACAGGTTTGTCAATCTGAAAAAAAAAATGTCGGCCAAGACCAGTTCACCAGAATAATTAAGTATAAAATGTTTTATATAGAATATGTAACTATACACAGTGTAACTATACAATGACTAGTAAAATATAAACAAGTGTAACTGTAACAAATATATTATTATAACAATTTAAAGGGTTTAACATTCAGTCGACACAAACTAGGTCATTTCGTTACTAACATATGGTTCAATTATGTTTCAATTATTTGCTTGCACATTGGGATTTTTGGCAGTGGGAGGAAATCGGAGAATTCGGAGAAAACCCACGAGGTTGGATAGACAACCCTACTCCTTTTAACGTACAAGCTGGGAATCGAAACCACTCCACTTGACTCAATGACAGATCTTGTTATTTCACATGCACGTGTTAAACCACCAAAATTCCCAAGTACTAGAAGTTAAAGCTGTGTTTAGTGAAGCAATTTTCGCTGTGAGCTGTCAATGTCCCAAATATTGCACATTCTCATTTAAGCTCAATCTCATATAGGCAATTTAAACATGTTTGTAATGCCCAATGTCCGGTTAATGGAAATAACTTTACTCACTCCATGAGGTTAAATATAATGCAGATTTATAATTTGTAATACTAAATATACTTAAATCATAATAAAATTGTTAGGGAAGTTCTAACAAACTACAATATTTCCAATGAAAGCAATATTTTATTAATCGATAACTACTAATTACAATTAATGCCTTATATAATAAATATGATTTTCACAAGAGATTTAATGTCTGTACTCTAATATTATCAATATATTCCACTATACATCTGCAGCTAATTCTGATAGCATTTTGTGGGTATGTATTGCAAAAAAGACATCATATCTAAGCAAATTAGTCACCATAAAACATACATTATGCAAGAGCTAAATCTGCCTATTGCAGGTCTTTCTTTAGGCCTGAAATTTTAAATGTTATCTAAGTTATTAATTAGACACTAATTAACTTGTCCAGACCATAATCAACTCTCGATGGCATCGCTAGTCTGCGATGTTTATTGGATTAGGTTACGGTTTGATGTTCGACTTCCATTCATAATGTAATCATAAAATGGATAATCAAGACTATATGTTTTATCGTACCGACTTTAGTAATCGAGGCTAGGCTGAAAATTCAATTGCTTAAATCTCAGTTCAGAGTGGATCCATTTGACTGAATTTTTCAGCAAATTCCCTTTACATTATCTAGTTTTATGTTTTTAACTATTATAATGAGAACTGCCTGCTCTTTATCTAATCTCCCATAATGTATCTTTAATGACAACTAACCTTTGTAATATAATACCATTGCTGACAATTATAATCACAATCACAAAGGTGACATAAAATAATGAATTCCCTACACCATAAAATCTGTTCAAATGACTATTTTAGTAAATGGATTTCGATAATGTTAGACCCTATATACGAGACTGTTTATTGATAACAGAACACATTAATGGCCAGTTGAATAGATTTTCTATTTCCATGGGTTAAAAGTTGTAAGCTCATGTCATCTGCATCCAAGGTCATACAAAAAAGATATTCTGAAGAGGGGGTGGGGGGGGTATTTTTGTGTTTTTATTTTGTCAAAGGATCATGTGGATAAGTGGCCGATCACAAACTTCACATTTCAAGGATCTACATCTCATCCTCTGTTTACATGTTTATTTACAAGCATTAAAGATGCATCATTCAAGATCTCAATTTGCCTATTGTAGATCTGTCTAGGCCTTATATATTATATAAATTATTAATTAGATATTTATTAACATGACAAGCCATCGGATGCTCGAGATTTTAACTAGATTAGAGCAGTTTGGCCATTTAATGATTTAATTTTAAAAAAAGGAGAAGCAAGACTAAGTATCAAATATACCAGTACCTTGGTTACGATAATAAACAATCAATGCATACGTCTTGTCAAAACTACAAACAGTTATAACTTGGCTCAGAATAAAATTATTTGAATGAAATTTTCAATATATTCATTTTGCATATTTTTGAACTATTATAGCAAGAATGACCAGCTCTTTATCTAAATCTTACATAATTTATCTTTAATTATTTTCTCAATCTATGACCGAAAGCACAGATTCTGTAGAAATGTGAACGCACTCCTTCCATCATTTCTCTCCCATAACTAGATGCAAAATGAAATAGGGTTTAACGTCTTATTGTTGGCTAATGAAGATGGGTATACCTACGCCATAAAGTGTGCTATTAGCGTAATTTCGCCCGGAATCTAAACCACACCAGTTGACTCAATGACAGACCTTATGATACAACGCGCATAAACAAACTATTTGACCATCCAACCCCACCCTCTGGGAAGCAGAATATCTTTTTTATTTGATATAATCATAAAGCAATTTTAAATATTTATATATAAAAGTTGGTCCCTATCACAATATTCAACACTCTATGAAGTAGCTTCTAAAGCAGGACTACTTTGTTTCGTCTGCAGGCGTCTGTTTCTCATTCGTTGTACGGGTTCTGAGATGTCCGACTGCTGTTCAAAATAAGCTACAATTGGAGGCTCAGTCAACATGGAAGCCATAATCTGTTCAAATGTAATAGACCAATCACCATCTGCCTTACTTCCAGCAGATTTTGTTGATTCCGATGATTGATGGCTCTCGTACATGGACACACCTATGCCACTTTCACCATTACTACCGTTTCCAGCTTTCTCAATTTTATCATTTTCAATTGTCTCTACAGAATCAGTAATTGCGCTAGGAACAGCATCACTGGTGTTATCTGCTCCTGTCGCATCCATACCAAAGGGGGCACCGCTATCTGGACTAGCAGACAGGTCACTTCTGCTATCTAAACTGGATGACAAAGGTACATCGGATGCATAACTCTGTGTTTCATCTGATACTGATTTTTGCATATAAAATCTTTTGCCTACATCTCCGATCTGTAGCAGAAGTGTACCAATGGAGGCAATAGAATGATAAAGATTTTGTTGATCTTTGTTATCGAGAAACATATCATATAAAGTCTTCCATAGTTGTATAAACTGAACCTAAAACACAAAAGTAAAATGCATTAAAGATACATTCCCACATACAAACTATGTGATTTGATGATATATTTGGACTAAAAACATATTCAAACTAACTAATCTATCAAAAATTTGCTTCAAATCTCTCAAAAAAAAACTTTGTATTCGCGAGGAGATACCCCAAGCTATAAAAAATCTATTTTTAGAAGCCATGTTTGTCACCAAGTTGATTGACAGAGGGGCGATTGTTCAGAATGTATTTGTCATTACTTACTGTCCATTTACCATACATATTGAGGCCTAACTAAATTCTTGAATTATTTTCTGCACACTCCTTTGTACTCAATGTTCACAAAACAGCCTAACCATTCGATCAAGAAATAACAACCTTATGTCAAGCTGGCAGACAATAAGTCATGGGGTTGCCAGTTAGTAATATCATGACATTCTTGCCCATAGGTGTTCTTCAGGGTGTTCTAGCAAGATTGGGCATCTGTATTTGCCATACTTTTATTGGAAATAACCACCCGATAAATACTTTCGATAAATACTTTCGTGAGAATGTATCTTTAATGTCTTGTCCACACAACATATCAACCATTTTTATAGTCAGAGAGAGAGAGAGAGAGAGAGAGAGATGTGTTAATGAATGTCCAAAAATGGTTTGTTATACAGTAGACTTCGCATATAACGGACAACTCGGGACCGGAAGAAATCGTCTGTTATAAACGGTGTCCGTTATACAAAAAAATCTGCTATTGACCCTGAATTAGCGACCAGAAGGTAACACCATCCCATGAAATAACAACATTTATCATATGCAGAATCTACAGAACATACATGTATTTACATAAAAGTCATGTATGTATTCACATATTATGGATGTTCAAAATAAACGAGCTTATTTGAAAAAGTCTGTATTGCAGGCAGGTCTGCTTGAATCCGCCAGAAACACGAAGAAAATCAGTAATATTATCATTTTGTTCTGCTTATTCGAGAGTCTGTTAAAAAAAGATCTTTTACATTGGTTTGTTGATTAGGGACCAATGAAAATCGTCCATTATTAACGATTGTCCGTTATACAGTGTCCGCTATAAAAGACTTTGAAAATAAGAAATTTCTATTACAAAAATCGGGACCAAACTGTTGTGTCTGTTATAAGCGATTGTCCGTTGTATGCGCGTCCGTTATATGCGGAGTCTACTGTACTTCAAAAATTCACTTGAGCTCAGTGTTCTTTAGCAGTAGGAGAAAACCAGAGATGCAAGAGAACAGCAACAAGGTTAGGCAGGCAGGCAAACCCTACTTCTTGTTATCTACAAATACAAGATGGACCATAACACTTGTTACAATGACAGCTGTTAGGGCCACATGGATAGACTAACGGATGACCCCAGTGTTTGAGAAAATACACGTCCACATCTTTGTTAAATGTTGATAAGAACACAGTAATGAATGGACAACCCACATCCACATATTCATTAAATTTTGACAAAAGGGCAGCAATTAATGGAGAGCCAACATCTACAGGTCTGTTATATTTTGGCTAAAGGGCAGCAATTAATGGACAACCGGTCCAACTTGGAGGATTCATACTTGAATACAACACTAACCTGATTCATCCTACCAACATTTTTATAATCTTCCTTTCTGTCCGATTGCAATCTCTCACTTAATGTTCTCTTTCTTCTTCTATTTACATATATACCATCATCTGTAATGAATGAATGATGGAATGAATAAATGAATGAATGATGGAATGAATGAATAAATGAATGATGGAATAAATGAATGTATGATGGAATAAATGAATGAATGATAGAATGAATTAATGAATGATGGAATTATTAAATGAATGAACAGAAAACTTTAAATCATTCAAACTTTCACAGGATGTACTTCTGCTAACTTTCAATTAATTAGTGGACAATGCAGGATGGTGACAGTGACAGCATCATTTCTGCCTAGTCTTCTACAGTGTATGTGTACAAAATGCTGTTCAACACAAACAAATGAATAGAACAGTACTATAGCACTATGAGCACTACAACGTTGCTTTCTTGGTTTATTGCCAATATTCCACCTTATTTGAACATCCAACATCTGTGTGTAAAGTGAAGGCTGCACACAGAAAACAGGCCATACATATTGTGAACACTAATATCACAGCCAGAAATCCTCTCGCTTGAGTTTAAAATGAAGGAAAAACAGCCACAAATATTGTGAACACTGTAATCTCCCAGCCAGTCACTCAAGTTTCAAGTGTTAAGCGGAAATATATAAGTCAAGCTTACCAAGAACATAATCATCTGATTTAGAGTCTGGACTAGGTGTAGAACTATCTAGTAAAAGTGTATTAGCTGTAGAATCAGTCAGTGTAGTATCAACTTGCTTGGGTTCAGTTGTCTCTATAGGTAATGTTGTTGGAGGTGTAGTCTTACTTTCTACTTCACTCTCTATATAAAACATTAATACATTTATACCTTGTAACAATAGTCAAGAGTTAAGATAAACATGAAACCCAGTGTAAATTAGATTGTGAAATTCGTAGAGTTTTATGTAAGATGTTTTTATAAAGTGGCAAGGGGTCTATTTAAGTCGAAATAATTTATTGGTATCCATCAACCTTTACTCATATGTAGATTAATTTATAAACTAAGCTATTGGCAATATTCTAGAATAATGTCTATTGTTGAACTGTAAACAAATTTTATTTTGGTTGCCAACCAATTTAAGAATTATTTATTAATATTTTCTTTGTGAAATTTGGAGATTTACAATAAGATTCAATACAATTTTTAGCTGGCCATAAATATAGCATGTTCTAACTATATGCAATTACTGAAAGGTTATTATCAATCATTATCACCCAATAATGCATTCTACAGTAGATATCGCTTGTGTTATATATTTCATAATCTACTTTACATGAATTTGATTGGTTAAATTTCTTGTTAAAAGTAACTTTTTTTATATTAAAAATGAACTATTGTTATTCAGTTGACCTTGATGGAAACACTGGGTCAATATAAAGGACTTTGCAATGGTTGAATTGCTGTCAAAAAATGATATATCACTACGCCATAATGTTCAGTAAAAGTGAAATCTACAGCAAAGAATTATATTTATCTATTTGTGCATGTAAGAAGGGATTGGGTGATAAATAAAATCTCCTACTCGTCTTTTTTGATATCAAAAAATATCAACTTGTGTTGATATTTTTTGATATCAAAAAAGACTGGTAGGAGATTCTCTATATAACAATACCGCTACTCTGACTTACGATCCTTATCCTTGACTTGAGGGTCCTTATCCTTAACTTGACTGTCTTTTTCCTTGACTTGACTATCCTTATCCTTGACTTGACTGTCCTTATCCTTGACTTGACTGTCCTTATCCTTGACTTGACTGTCCTTGTCCTTGACTTGACTGTCCTTATCCTTGATTTCACTCTCTTTATCCTTTTTTATATCTGGTACTTGTGTTGTATCTGGTAGTGGACTTGGTAATTCTAAATCTGTACAAATTTAAACCATAAAATAAATATTTATCACGTAATATATTATTTAAAACAACTCAATTTTAAATGAAATTAAAATTAATCTTAATCCATACTTAAAATGAAGTCAGATCACACCAATTTCAATTTCTATTATTGTGGAATACCTATTAAAAGAGAGAGAGAGAAATGGGGTTTAACGTCCACTTGACTAGAACTAGGTCATTTCAGGACTAACATATGGTTTTAATTTTATTTCAATAATACGCTTGTGCGTAGGGGTCTTTAGCAGTGGGAAGGAACAGGAGGACCTGGAGAAAACCCACAAGGTTGGATAGGTGACCCTACTCCTTGTCAAGCGGGAAATTGAACTCATGCAACTTGACTCATTGACAGACCTTATGGTCCAACTGGCACGCATCCTCCCCTCCCACCCCCAAATACCTATTAAATATGTCGCTTCCTATTTCTTTCTGAAATTAACTAACTATATGTTTGCTCTTCTCAACTTTCATTGCTATTTATTCAAACATGTTTCTCCCTATTTCTCTCTGAAATTAACTAACTACATGTATATGGTTGCTTTTCTCAACCTTCATTGCTATTTATTCAAAAAGACCCTGAACAAATGAAATTTAATCAATTGGTCTTTCTGTACTTATTTTAGGATCCGTAGGTCTTTCTGTACTTATTTTAGGACCAGTAGGTCTTTCCATACTTATTTCCTTCAAAAATGATTGCATTTTCATGGAAATTTACAATAATCCATGTTTTACATTTTACTTAAGATTTGATAGTAAGGTTTCCATCATGCTACAATATCAGCCTCACATGCTTCATTCTAGAAGAGAATTTAAGTCTGAATTTGTACGAGGCTTAAAAAAGTACATATAATTTACCCCAGAGAGAGTTATAGAAAAGTTAAAGTATCATTCCCAAGAGTTTTGTGTCTACACTGTAAAAAATTAGCAAGAATAAAGACCATTATCATATCCTGTCTGACGTTATTTCCACGTTTCGTTCATACCTTCAGAATCCTCTTTTGTCGAGTTTAAATCTGAATCTTCTTCAAAGAATTCGGCGGCCTCCACCCCACTTTCTGTAGAATCTGTTAAAACCAACCACCATATAATATAAAGACAGTACAGAGAGAAGTGTACATTCCTGACATATAAACTCAATAACAGACAGAGGAGAACACTGACATTCCTGACACAGAGAGAGAAATGAAATGAAATGAAATGAAATGGGGTTTAACGTCCTACTGTTCTGCTCCTATACTGGGCTAATAAAGACGGGCATACGCCATACAGTGTGCTATGAGGGAAATTTTGCCCGGGCAGCGGCACTATTGCCTACTCTTATATCGAATTCCAACTGCCAAGGGATCTTTTACGTGCATTCCAATGTTTACACGGAACCTCGTTTTTTTGTCTCATCCGAAGGACTAGACAGCTGTCCTTGTCAGGCCCTCCGTCCTGCACAGAGAGAGAAAGAGAAATGGAGTTTTACATGGAACCTGTTTTTCTCCTCATCCAAATGACCAGAAGCTTTTTCTAGCAAGGTGCTACTCCCTGAAAAGGGGAAACTCCCAAACAGGAAAATCCTGAGGAATTTTCAACCAAAAGAGAGAAAGAGAGAAATGTAGTTTATCGACCAGTCGACACAAACTAGGTCATTTCAGGACCAAAATATGGTTCATTTCAATTTTAATAATTTGCTTGCACACGGAGGTCTTTAGCAGTTGGAGACAACTGTGGGGTCCACAGGATTGGACAGGCGACCCTACTACTTGTAACGTACAGGCTGGGAATTGACACCACGCAATTTATGATCTAAAGGGCAGGTGTTAAACCAATTAGGCCACCCAATGCCAAGCTCAAAAGAACCTGCTCAGTCAACAACGAGTTCGAACCAGGGATCTCCGCCTTGGCGAGCTGATGCCATACACGACAACACAACGACTTACTAGTCACCATCATCCAGTCTAATATTTTTACAAATCAAGACATATTCCAGTTCTTCGAGTACCGTCCCTGATTTAATTCTGTTGGCAGCACATAATGCTATTGTTATTAATCATAGTGTCCAACAGTGAGGCTCTGTGACACAAGACTCATCAAAGGGAGATAACAGCTGGAATAAGACCTTTTTTGACTGACATGTAATTCACACTTTACAGGTATTACAACTGATTTGAAAACAACGCAAACAAAACATGCCTTGTACCGGAATTCATGCAAATAATTAAAATGTAGCAAAAACACAAATGCACAAAAAAACACAGTAAATAAATAAATAAGAGATTTCAAAGATATACATTATTAAAATTAAGATCAACAATAGAGAGTATATCTATATAAAACAGTATTTATAATATTTAGCTCCATTTATCTCCCTGTAGTTACAAACTCTATAAAATTTATATACAGCATAATTTATATACAGCATAATATAATTTGTAACTACAGGGAGATAAATGGAGTTAAACATCCAGTAAAGTTTGGACAACTTCAGAGAAAACCTGTGAGGTTCGGCATGCAACCCTAATCCTTGAGAGATTAACCCTGAAGCTTCCAGAGAAGACCGATGTATGACTTTTTCATGGTCTCATTAATCATAAAATTAGGATCACTGAGGTATAGTAACACACAATTCTCAAATACTGTTACATATAGAGTTATTAATTAGAGCATCTAAAGAAATGTAAAATAAAACATGCAATCATTAACAAATCATAAATTAAGCAAATAAAAAAATAAAATAATGAATGCAAATAAAAAATATTAAAGCATTTGATCGAAGAACCCTGAAATATATGTTTCAAAATATGTTGAAATTAACATGGGCCATCTTTAAAAGTCATTTTGATTAAAAACCCACACTGAACTTTTCTTGGCTCTTTATTTTTCACAGACCCCTGTTTTCCAGCACATCCCATGTAGATCCGTTTCCAGAACATCACTGGCGGAGCCATTTTCCAGTGCATTCCGTGCTGACCATGGATGCCAGACTGGAAAACACTGATCTAATTCATCATATCTTTTTTAAAACTTAAAACTGAAAAATGTTTCCCCTCCTTTTCAATCCAACAATCTAATCTGTAACTTGTGATTTTAATACTTTCAGTTACCCTGATGATCTTTTTGATTTATTCCCGTTAAATGAGATAGATGTAAGTATTACCTGTATTTGGTGAAGTTGGTGTCTCAACTTCTTCCTCCTCGTCATCATTAACGAAAGCTGGTGGTAGATGTAAATAATATAATAACTTTAATCTCTGAGCTACGCTACCTTTACACATTATACCCATTATATGTACAAACTCTTTAAAATTGATCATGTTATCTTTATTCTCATCAAGATACTGAAAAAACAAAAGTAGATGCATGTCATCCCTGTTTATATGAAATGAAATGGGGTTTGCCATCCTACTGTTCTAATGAAGAGAGGCATAGGCCATACAGTGTGCTATGAGGGAAATTTTGCTCAGAAACGTGGCGCTACAGCCTCCTATTCTTTGGAATTCCAAATGCCAAGGGATCTTTTACGTGCACACCAATGTGTCAACAGGAACTCAGTTTTTCATTCTATCCAAACGACTATATGTTGTTCCTTGCCAGACCCTTTGTCCTGCATGTACATATTGGCATGAAAGTATAAGAAACCTTGGCTGTTGGAATTCAATATAAGAGTAGACTGTAGCGCCGCTGGTTTGTCTAATTGGGGTTGTTTGCATGTAGTGGTTATTCTGAACTTAAACACACATTATGCAAGATCTAAATCTGCCTATTGCAGATCTTTCTTTAATTAACTTATCCAGGCCATAATCAACTCTTGATGCCATCGGATTTCCCCGATATTAAATAGATTAGAACAGTTCAGCCATATTTTGATTTAAGCTAAAAATGAAGGAGCGAAAAATTATTGCACACGTCTTGTCAAACCTTCAAAGGCTAATATCTTCACTCGCAATAGAGTAATTGGAATGAAATTTTCAAATTATTCATTTTACATTATCTATTTTTGAACTATTATAGCAAGAATGGCTAGCTCGTTATCTAAATCTTACATAATGTATCTTTAATATTATATACAATTATCATTTTATCCAAGGCAACAGGAGATTTTTATATATATCTTTTGCAACACTAACGTTTTTCCAAATGGACTAGCCAAGATAATGTACAAAACAGAAACTTACCCTGAAAGCTCTAAGGGAGAGAACTCCAGCATGTAAACCAGTTGCCCATGGTGATAGAGACAGAAACATTGTTTTAAACTGATCATAATCAACTTTATATTGTTCATAATATGGTCGTGATGGATCAAATTTATCAGCTGTATCAACTGGTTGTTGACTTGTTCTCCAATAACATGATGTTAAATATTCCTCCTGTTCAAATAGTCACATAATAAATAGTAAAGGGAGAAAGAGAGAGAGAGACTGAGGTTTAACAACCACTCGACAAAAACTAGGTCATTTTGGGACTAACACATGGTTCAATTTTATTTCAAAAATTCGCTTGCACGTAGGGGTCTTTAGAAGTGGGTGGAAACCAGAGGACCAACAAGGTTGGATAGGCAACACGTCTCCTTGTCACACACAACCGGAAATCGTAACCATGCCAGTTGACTCAATGATACAGACCTTATGATACAACGCGCACGCATAACCATGTGGCCATCTAAGCCCCCAAATGTAAAGGGAACAATCAGACTGAATGCATTACATTAAATGTAAGATACATCATTTTTTTTAAGTCATTGTGTTATCAGGTAGCTGTGTGTTGATTTCATAAAATTTGAGCCTTTGGCATTAAATATTAGCACTTCTTTACATCTAGATATCTTGATGCAAAGAACCCAAGGTAAAGACTGCAAAAACGCCAGGGACCCAAGGGGTTAAAATTCCATACTAACACTTATACTATTTTAACATGTTAATTAGGAGGTGTATCTCATTGTCTCATGTCCTGACTTTAGTTTGCACTGGTTGGTTGTATCTAATTTATGTCCAGACGTACCTGGTACAGAGACTGCGAAATGTTCAGGTATTCAGCACTCAAAGGGTTACAATATTTAGTTACTTGAAATTGCTCTTAGTATTTTAAAACAAAAGTAAAAACCTTCAATGCTTGGAGGGGTATCTTATTGTTTCATACACTTGTAACACATCTCTGTGTTAAATGGGGATAAAAATATCATAATCTTCATACTATTCTGAACTTCTAACTTGATTTATTTTTTAATCTATATGCTTTTGATTATACAAATGTAAAAGTGTTTAAAAACTTACCTTAAATAAAATATAGAGATCATCCAGTTCTTTACCTTTACATAATGTATCTGATGCAACACTTCTTAATACATTACGCTTTGTACTGTCTTCAATAGTCTGGATAACAAAAAAATATATAAAACTCAGTTATTTTGTGTTACATGTAAATAGCCCAGAAATTGATTGCATATACCTATATCCTATTTTGATCCCAAAAAAAGACAACTGAAATCATTTAAACATATTCATAAACCTACCCTACCTGGAGAATTCATAATCTGTATTATAAACATAACCTACCCAAATAACTCGTAATCTTTATCAAAAGTAAAATCTATCTTACCCGAACAACTCATAATCTGTATTGTAAGCATAACCTACCTAAACAACTCACAATCTGCATTGTAACCTTAACCTACCTGAACAACTCATAATCTAAATTGTAAGCATAACCTACCTGAACAACTCGTAATCTGTATTGTAATCGTAATTTATCCACCACCTGATTACTGATATTACCAAATAATCTATAACTTTGTTCTATTAAACCAGTCACATCTACAGATGACTACAATGAAATATAAACATAATGATGATAACACAGACAAACTACATGGGGTTTTATTCAGACATCCTGAATAAAAATATTGTTTTAAAAAACCTTACATGTTCTGAGAATATCATAGTGTCTCATCAACACAATACTTCAGTCAGGTTATCTGAATCTACAATGTATGTGTATTTATTTTGTGACTGTCATTTGTGGGATTGTGATTGGAGGCTACACTAGGGTTGTCCAGAGGCTGAAATCAGGGGTTTAAGGAAGCTAGAGTCTGGGCATTACATCCTGGATGCACTGCACTCCCAGTTCCTGTTATACTACTTCCTGTAGTCAAAGGGCTGTACCAGCACACAGAGAGAGACACACAAAGAGAGAGAGACAGGGAGACAGATAGAAAGATGGGGTTTAACATCCACTCAACATAAACTAGGTCATTTCGTCGGGACTAACATAGGGTTCAATTTTATTTCAATAATTCGCTTGCACGTAAGGGTCTTTAGCAGTGGGAGGAAACCGTAGGACCTGGAGAAAACCCATGAAGTTGGACAGGCCACCCTACTCCTTGTCACGTACAACCTGAGACTTGAAACCACGCCAGTTGACTCAATGACAGACCTTATGATACAGAGTCAAACACTGAGTCTGAAGTTGCTATCTTAGCACACGTTCATCCTTTTATTGTCTTGCAAGTTTAATATATAATTTTTGCTACATTAAAATTTATCAGCTGCCAAAAAAGTATTTCCTTGTATTTGACAACAAATGTATTTGATAACAAATGTAGTTTCAGTTACTTTAGATATGTTTTCCAAAAGATGTCTAAGTATTTGGGTTGTTGTGAGTGTCAAGGTAATATATTGTTAAATCTAGTTTGTGTACCTGTACATCTCCACTAGGTGTTAAAGATGATATATGTTTAACTGTTGGTATAGTCGAATCTTCATTAGTTATATTCTCTAAATATTTACATAATATAGTCATAGCTTCACCATCTTCATTACATGCTAATAACTGATCACTCTTCTCATCTAATATAGCTAATGCTATTTGGAACATTACCTATAATAAATATAGCAAATAATAACTAGTCACTTTAGCTAATGCTATTTGGAACATTACCTATAATAAATATAGCAAATAATAACTCGTCACTTTAGCTAATGCTATTTGGAACATTACCTATAATAAATATAGCAAATAATAACTAGTCACTTTAGCTAATGCTATCTGGAACATTACCTATAAATATAGCAAATAATAACTGTTCACTTTAGCTAATGCTATCTGGAACATAACCTATAATAAATATAGCAAATAATAACTGGTCACTCTTCTCATCTAATATAGAGAGGGAGAGGGGTTTTACATAGGCTAAGCCTGTTCCCCAATTACATACAGCCATCCAGAATAAAAATATTGTTTTAAAAAAATCTAATATAGCTAATACCATCTGGAACATTACCTATACATACAGTCAGTCAATAAAATATAAAGCTACCATAATAACAATTCAGCATCATCTATTCAAAGAGTCACCAACAATCACTCTAACTGAACTACTTTTGTTTCAACATATTTTCAACATAATATAACTTCTTACATTTCTGCTTTTTTACTATTACTATTATCTTTACTATTATCTATTTACTATTTTACTATTTTACTATTATCTTTATTTTGAATTTTTGTGGGATCTTCAACATTTTGCCAATGGTATACACGGAATTAACCTGCTTTTCTCCCCATTCAAATGATGAGAAGCTTTTTCTAGCAAGGTGTTTCGCCCTCAAAAGGGAAAACCTGACTCCAAACTCCTGAGCATTTTTCGAATTAAGGATCTTATGGTTAGTGAGCAGCATCCTACGAACAGGATCACTGTGGCTCTGCACAATATCAATAAATACAATGAAGAAGAATAATAAAGTTTACCTTAGCTCCATTGTAGAAGAAACAATCTAAAATATTTACAGCACAGCTAAATGGCATAACACTACAAGATATAAAATAAATTATTTTCAAAGTCGATGATTTCTCTTTCTTGTGAGATATGAAAGGGTGGAGCTCACCTCCTCTTGATAATAATCATTATAGAAAACTTATATAGTTGTCACCCAATTATTTTAATATTAAAAACAGATATTCCATTTCTAAAAGCACACGTCAGACTTAAGTATATTCTATAACACAAGTCTATTGATCTTCAGATACGCTTCATTGAAATGAGGTCTTGGGTCTAAAATCACATGCCTCAAATAGTTATTTTTTTCTATGTGCATTACTTGGAAGGCGAATTTGGTTAGGACAGCATAATAGCATTTCTGCCTACTCATCAATTTGCAGCTGTGAAGTTCTCTTTTACATGCACTACAGTTTTTACACAGGTCAGTCTACTACAGGATCCAGTGCCCTTACGGCTAGACAACCACCCCCTACCTAAATATGGAGGAAATAATATACCCAAAATACATCTCGATATCACAGTGAAGTGAACCCCTACAATAATTTTAACTTTATATATATTTACCTGAGGAAGATAGTCAGAAACCATGATAAAGATATCATACTGAGTAAACCCAGGGTCTCTAATTTATCATGCATACTAGGTAAATACGTCCTAATTAAATCTTCAAATACACCTAGAAATATAAAACATCAATAGTTCAATCTTAGTCTTAAAGATTCTCAAATACGTCCTTATTAAATCTAGAAATACACCTAAATATATAAAACACCAATAAATATTAGTTTAATCTTAGTCTTAAAGATTCTTAAATACATCCTGAATAAATCTTGAAATACACCTAGAAATATAAAACACCAATAAATATTAGTTAAATCTTAGTCAGGTATCTTAATGCCTTCAGTTCTATGCTCTTGTTTCTTCACGTCTTCATTTTATACGCCACATCATCCCAAAATCAACATTACAACTAATTACAGATCTTTTGTTGAAATGCATTCCATGGTAGAAATATAGTAATATCAATTTTGAATATTTCCAAAGAGAAACTGAGTCTTGCAACTAAACTATTGTCAAATGATCACATTTTATACAGATTTAATGCAAACATTTTTATTAAAACTTTCTATATAGGGAGTCAGTCAGCAGTATTAAAACTTAGTGGTTTATACTTACTTTGAACACTGTACCCTAGTTGAATGGGAACATTACCCAAGTTAATGGGAATATGAACAATTTACCCAAGTAAGCTGGTAATGGGAACACTTTACCCACATTAGTTGCCAATGGAAACACTTTATTTTATACTTACTTTGATCTATAAGAGCTCCTACAACTTTAGTATTATAATAATCTGGTAATAATCTTTCACATATCGCTGTTAGTAACCAGAAGGCTTCTTCCTCACTGGTATACAATAATAATACACTTGTTACTATATTCATAGCTTGACAATAACCTACACAAATATACAAATACATTCATTCATTTTACTATTATATATATCAAAGTAAAGTCTGTGACAAATTAATTCCTTACTGAAAGTACAGTCGATGGGTGAAAGAATCCCTGTACAATGCAAGCAAGATCAGATCTTAGTGATAGTGATGGGGACCGAAATAAATATTGCTTGGTGAATTTTACCTATGGGAAGAAAGTGAGGCATGGGGTTTAACATCCACTGTTCACTACAAATTAGGTCAGAGAAAATTTGAGATGTTTGGCAAGGAATCAAGAGCTAGTTACATACAATGGCTGAATGTAATGTACAACTTGTTATGGATCTTAAGATTAGACCATCTGTCACTGAACAATCCTCATTGGTGGGAATAGATGGAATATTATTATAAACAAGCATTTAACATCAGCCTACCAATTAAAGATTATTGATAAACAAAACATCAGCCTTACCAATTAAAGGTGATTGACAAACAAAATATAAGGGAATACAATTAAAAACGACTGATAACAGAATATAAGTGAATATAAATAGTCAAAAATCTGGTGAATAAAATTACCTATATTAGGATTCCTCCAAGCATAAGCTGTTAAAACTCTTCTTAATGCACTTATACCCAAATCATTCTGAAATGCTGGATGTTCTGGTAAAGATCTGGAATAGTAGATAAATCATGCTTTATATATATATATGTACATGTTGATCAAGTTCCTGTCTGTATGAGGATGATATTAATGTAATTAAAAATAATGATACTGAGCTGAAAAACATCAGAAATTCAAACAAAGTGTTGTTTTATATTGCAAATATCTTATAATTGTTTTATTTCCACTCTAATATAAATGAAATGAAATGCTGTTTATAGTCTGGACGCCAGGGCCGAGAACCCACTTTTGTTTGATATATAATGTTTCTCGGTGGATTATTGTTGGGTAGGGTCCCCTTGATTTTTCCAGGGTGGGTGTGGTCGTGTCACCATTGGGGAAAATTAAATATTCAAGATGGCGGCCAAAAGTTGTGAGAAAAATACAAAGAAATCATTTTTCACCATCCTAGGTCGTGTAATATATCGTTTTATATGTTTTTGGGGTCGCTGAACACGATGGTGAAAAATAATTTTTGTATATTTTTCCCACCATTTTGGGCCGCCATCTTGAATATTTTATTTTCCCCAAAGGTGATACGACCACACCAACCCTGGAAAAATCAAGGGGACCCTACCCAACAATAATCCACCGAGAAACATTATATATCAGGCAAAAGTGGGTTCAGTGATAATTTGGCATTTGACGTTCCCGACTATTAATGTTCTACTTTTCTACACCAATTAGGTGTATGCCATCCATTATGAGGGTATTTTCTGCTTCATCTTTATTGAATTCCAACCGTCAAGTAAACAGGTGGAGATCTGCTTTTTATCCCATCTGAATGACTACATGCCTTTTCCTTGCCCTGCCCTCAAACCAGGTTGTAAAATCCAGGGGAACTTTCTCAGTCAACACCGGGATCGAACCCATGACTTCCTGGTTAGTGAGTCATCACCTTACTCACCTATGTAGATCTCTTTCTATTTCTTCTGTAGCTATAGAAGATTTACCCAAACTTTCTTGTACAATTTTACCATAGTAACCCTCGTTAGACGCCATCTACAATATATGTACAATTATAATCTCATTATCTTTCATCCAAAAACTACATGAAAACATAAGTTAGAAAAGATTCACGATTATAAATAGTCAGAATTAGCTACATTTTCTTTTAACAGAACTATCTTAATGGATATGGGTTATCCAATTTAAAAAAAACCCAAGAGGACGGGAATGTCACTTCTTATAAAATATGTGTACTTGTTAACTTCTGTACCAACAGATTGTTTTTATTATTATTAGTCTGTAAATAATTTCAGGAAGCGACTACCGATCCCCCTTCGCCCTAGTTTTAATTGAGAAATCTGAACAAACCTCATTAACTGCCCCTGAGAAGACCATCCACATTCCACCTCTATATTTATCAGGAATGCCTTTTAATACTAGTTCTTGTGTTCGATGGGTTCGATACATACACATTCCCCTGTAACAAAAACAAATGGATGTTAAACCAAAATTACAGTTTTACATTCTCTAATTAGCTAGTATTCTTCTAAAAAAAAAAACACTGCTTATAAATAATAATTTATTGGCCTAACTCTATCATTTTAAAAAGCAACTGCCATAATATTTAAAGGATTTGTCCCAGATTTCATAGGGTAGTCTTCCTGTTAATAAAAGTATACAGATTATTCACCAATATGTGATGAAAGAGGATGAAAGAGGACAAATAGCTTGTCTGATAAATGTTATTGATGGTCTTTCACACAGAAATGCATGAAATTGTAAAATCTTGTCTGTATATTATCATTTTGACATACTTCATTCTTACTTGTATCCTTATAATCCAGTTTATATTAATGAACCGTGTAGCACTTGGATGCCTGAAACTACTGCTCCTTTTAGTGGCTCAGACCATCCTCAGTCCTATGCATATAGCTGTGAACAAGTTCTACTGTGTACTACTAGTTCTATGACTCGATTGTTTGAAGTGGTCCAGTAAGCAGTAGTTTTGGGAGATTTTAAAAATAACTACAAAACTCTTATCTTTTCAGGGAACCAGGGTAATTAGTATTTATACATACAAAGTGCTAAAAATATTAAAACTTACTTTCCATACTCTGCAAAGTGAACGTCCCATAAGTGCATTTTAACTGTTTCTTTTGGCGAAAGATCGTCTGATTCTCGTCTACAGAATAAACTAATCAAAGCTGGTTGAAATTTAATCTGTTCTTCACTATCGTCACTCTGACTTATAGTTCGACTAAAATAAATAATACAAATAACACAATTATCAAGAAATAAAAATATGCATATGTAATTGTTTAATTAATGATTTTGGAAAAATATAAATATGATCTTTTGCATATTCCTGACAATTTTTCATGGCTTAATTTATTCAGATTGTCAAAAGTAGATAATCTCATGACTTATAGGTGGCGCTGACTCGTTTATATAGTCTGCAGTGTATGCTGAATTTTGCAAAAGTTTCAAAAAATAAATGAAATGAAATGGAGTTTAACGTCCTACTGTTCTGCTCCTAACCTGGGCTAATGAAGACGGGCATACGCCATACAGTGTGCTATGAGGGAAATTTTGCCCGGACAGCGGCACTACGGCCTACTCTTATATCGAATTCCAACTGCCAAGGGATCTTTTACGTGCACGCCAATGTGTACACGGGACCTCGGTTTTTCTTCCCATCCGAACGACTAGACAGCTTTCCTTGTCAGCCCCTCCGTCCTGCATCACTGACAAGGGAGAACCACGCCGGAAAATCTGGATGGACTTTCTCGGTCAATGCAGGGATCGAACACCCGACCTCCAGGCTAGCGAGCTAGCGTCTTACCCACTTAGCCACGTGATCCCCGCATAAGTTTCAATTCACCATATCTTTGTAAATACTAATTTGAACTTAGCCACTTTTGGACTTATATTTAATATTCAGAATACTGTAGTTTGCAAGCAATTCAAACTCACTCAAATAACAAATAATGGCTTTAATAGAATATTTTGGGCAAAAAGATGCAACTTGTTTTGGCAATTGTTGCCTTTTAAATGCTGTTATAAGAACAATACACAAAGGGCGGAAACATATCTATATTCATCAAGTTGTCCTACTTCGCTTTGTTTTTACACAATTATCAGCCTTTTGTGAACTATAAGCCTCCTTTTCGATTAAAACTGAGGCTTATTCAAAACTCAATTCTCCACAAAAAAATCCACAGTGACTGCAATTATTTCAGAACTGAGAGGAAAATATGATTTTTGAACACAGGAGGTGCACTATATGATAAGTGAATAAGAAAACCTTTAAGATATAAAAAAAAGTGAAAGTACAAAAAACAATTTATTGGTTGCCTGGTGTAGTTCTTATGTTCATCACTGATAAAAATGAAATGGAACATTTACCATTTAGATTCAGGTTGTCTGAAGAGAAAATCTGATATTCTTTCTAAAATAAAATCTCGATCACTGAACTGGGCAAATGTAAAACTCATCTGAAACAAAAACATGACAGGATATGTGAACATTAATAGTTGAATCAAGGAGGATATCAAAATTATACAGTTCAACCAAATCCCCCAGCTATGTGATTTTTACTGCAAGAACTTCACTTTTCCACAAAGCAAGTCGATTCTTTTCCCTATGGGTTCTTTGCTATCTGGATTGACAATACCAAACATCAATCAGTTGGACCTCTTGTTTCAACATGGCTTTATTATGATAAACGGAAAAGATGGTCAGTTCTCGTGACAACGAATTTTAATATCATGTTTTTTAAAGTGACTTTTTATTATATACAAGAATTTTTTTATGTTTTTACCCTTTGTTTTACTCCTTTATACATAAATAATCTTAATCAAATCAACCTGTCCATAATGTCATGTACTGGATGTTAAATTTGTAATAAATAACAACATCCATGCTAACTTTTCTGCATTTGATCAGTGGCTAATAGCTCAATCATCAATCCCAGTCTTTTACCTTTATTAGGTATATTAGGGTCCTTAGGACACAGGGCGTGTGCCACAACTTTTTACACAATTCTTCGATTAACTTTAACATTGGTCATCTTAAAAGCCATTTTGATCAACAACAAGATACAAGTACATCAACTCATTGCAAGATGACACCTAAATACATTCCCAGACCCCTAAGCATTCTTGTTTGAGAAACACTAATTTAGGAGAAAACACAACAAGACTGTAGCATGCTATGGTAAGTTTTGATTATTTGATATGATTGACAGAAAGTTAGTTGATGTCATATATTTTTACCCACCTTTCCTTTAGTAGTGACTAGTACAGCATTATATATCAGATTACCAGAAGCAGAGTTATCTACCTTTTCTACTACCTGTATATCACGTAATGGTATTATAACTGTTACTAAATCTCTCACCTATAAATACATAAATAGTACCCCAAAATAGAAGATAGGTCTCGATTAACTGGATCTACCAAAAACAATATTTATCATCAGAGTAACTTGATTACCAGAAAGTAAGCTGAATATATTTAACTGTACTTCTTGTGTTTTAATGTTAAATTCTTAGAAAAAAATGAACTCCAATAGTTCAATTTCAATACCCATCAGTCAAGGATGGCAAATATGACTGAAGCATAAGATCTGGCCCCCGAGTTCACAAAGTATTCTCAGACTTAAATTAAGAATTTTCTCAACTTTCAATCATTGTTTATGAGAAATATATTTGATCCAGAAACACACAACTTTGGACATAGTTTCTTATTGATGTATTTATTAGGGGTAATATTTTAGTTCAAATAAGCAAACAATTTTGAGTAAATTCTTAACCTAAGCCTGAGAATGCTTTGCAAACTCTGGGGATGATTCCGTGAGATTATATGAGATTCAAGCTGATTTTCTTTTTGAGTATTCAACCGGAATTGGGTTGTTTTAGTATATCAGATTATATTTTGATTGAAATTGTACCTATAAGTTTACCCTGCTGGCGAAACAGATGTGTTTTAGTATATCAGACTATATTTTGATTGAAATTATACCAATAATCTTACCCTGCTGGCGAAACAGATAAAGTTAGAAGATAGATATAATCGACCATTAACATGTTGTTTATTATATGGTGTCCATAATGTACATTCTTCATCACCATCTAATTTCTCATGTACAGGTAACTGGAACGCTTGTCTACAATACAATAATATAGTTCATATCATGGTTGATGACTCAGGGAGTGCTCGATTATCAGTCCGGAACATGGGGTTTAACATCCTACTATTCTGCTCCTAAACTGGGCTAATGAAGACGGATTGACAGAAATGCAATCAAGTGATATGGAATTCAGCCATGTTACAGTTCTGTCAGTCCTGACAACGGAGGGGGTGTGACATAATTAAACACAACAAATATGTTTCAGCTGATATGTTGTTATGGATTTGACTCATGCTGGGTAGTCTAAAATCCCCCTTTTCACTTGATTGTCATTATTTGTGGGATTGCAGGAATTCAATTTCAGAACGTTCAATTGAGTATCCCCATAGAGAAAAGCAAGGGAGTTAATTAATCATGTAAAAAAAATGGAGTTTTAAAGTCCTTTTGCTCTGCACTAAACAGGGCTAATGAAGATGGGTATTTGTCATGCACTGTGCTATGAGGGAAATTTTTCCCAGGCAGCAAGGTTTCCACCTACTCTTAATGGAATTCCAACTGTCAAGAGATCTTGTATGTGTATGCTAACACATACAAATAATAGTAGTAGAGTCACCTATTCAGACAAAAATATACACACCTGAATGCTTCACTTCTGGCTCGTGCATCTAAATCTCTTTTTAACGATGACATCTTCTTCGAGGTCTTTTTTCTGCAGGAAAACATTAAAATCTGCATTATTTCAATTAATTATTGTAGCGAATTTCCATCAATGATCTACATCATTAAATCTTCTTTCAAAATATTTACCCGATTTTCAAATGAAAACAATTCAGTGACAGTTTTTAGAAATCAAAATGATTAAATCTCTTTAATATCATCATTATTTCAATTAATTATTGTAGCAAATTTCCATCCAGGATCTGCAATCCTGAAGATTCTTTCAAGATATTTACCGGTACCCAATTTCAATGGCAGTTTTTAGAAATTTCAATGATCAGGTTTCTTTAAATTAAGTTTGATCTGATGGTTAATTTGTTTGGTTAGGTGTATAATGGTGAGATAAAACTAATTTTGTGTTCCACTATTGACAATTTAAAACCGAATTCCACTTAATATTTCGAAACTTAATTTTTCATTGAGTTCTATTTTTGAATAATCTCCTACTCTTACTTGGTTCTAAATGAAATCATTTTATCTTCTTCAAATCCTCCTTCTTGCATTAACCTGTAAGAAACAGAATCATTAAAAATTTCAATTCAATATCTAAAAATATATTTTTTAAACAAATGTATACAAAAGCTTAATTTTTGATATAGGAAATTCTTATTTATTTTCAAGTAACATGGGAGACAAGTATACTGATGGATACTATCCTTTCTGATGACAACATTAACTGCCAAGATGCACTACCAGTGTGTACACAGGTCCTTTATTTCTGTCCCATCCAAACTACTAGCAGATAAAATGAGGTACTAGCAGGATACCCGGGCCCAAATCTGCTGAGGGGTCCAATTCGCCCAGGGTTCAAATTTGCCCAGGACCCAAAATCGATGGCCTAAACCATTCACAGGGTCATGCTGAGTAATTTGATATCACATATATGGGAGTGGAGCGTGGCGACGAAGCGTAATGGGTGAACATACATACAATATACACACATAAATACTTTCATTTCATTTATAAACATGAAGTGGACCTATAATTTTTTAAAATTCTACTTGTCAGTGCTTTGATTCAAAGAGGACATTAATTAGAAATGAGTTTGGGCCCTAACTGATATGATAGAAGTTATATAACCTTATATGTATATTGATTTATTTGACAGAAAAGCAAGACATTATACACAATTTCATTTCTAATCATTTCCCAGTCCTGTAATAAAATTGAATGACAGGTAAGTCTGCTATATGTACTATATGTAACTTACTGTTTCATAGCCATATTAGCCAACTGTTCAATTAATCTGTAACTCTCACTACTGTGCATCACCATGGAGAAATAATGCTGTAATAAAATGTTTCAGTTACAATAGGAATTTAATAAAAATACCCAAATTGGCTGATGCTAATTTGATAAAGTTAGTGATAAAGGGAATTAGTAAAGGAAGAGAACACTTCTCCCACACTCTAGGTTTGTTTGTGAGAAATATGAGACAAGAGAAGCTTCAATAAGCATTAGTCAATAGGCACTCAATCCAATCTTGTCAGGAATTAGAGCAATCTATCATATATGGATATTTAATATCTACAGAAGAAGAACTTACAGATGCCTCTCTAGTTGATATTTTAACTGTATCAGGAAACAACATATTATTATCTCTCTCTAATTTCTGAAAAAGACAGAGATAGATTTCCAGGCAATTAAACAAACACCCAAAGCAGCTGTATTATCTAAACAGTCCATAAAATTTGTAGCATTTCTATTTATTTTGTACATAATAGGAGTATTTACAAGATATTAAAAAAAACTGATCGAGGGAAACATCCCAGTACCGGAATGTAATTATTAGAAATAATTAAAATTTGATAGGCTAGTAGGTCTTTTTTAACAAAAAATCAGCCAGTAATCAGATAACTTTAGAGGTTTGAAATATCGGAGATCACTGAATATTTGCCCAATGAACAAAAACACTGTGTAAATAATAACTTCAGTCTCTAGAATATCTATAAGTGATCAAGGGAAATAACCGTTAAAATAATAATCAAAAATCACAGATATCTGTTATAAATTTACTTACAGTGATGTCTGTCCATCGTATAATAACCTTTGCTTCTCTTCCCAATAAAAATGAGTAAAAACACAGATGATTAATACTGAGATACATCCAACCCTGTCTTGGTACTTTCCCTTTCCAATAACTACACGAATAATCTGTAAATCAAACACATATTAAACAATCACATCCACATCCACTGCAAACATTTCTTTAATTACAGAAGTTATACAGTCAAAGCGATGTATTATGGTCATATAATGACTATTCATTATTCGCATACGTATTAGTACTTGCAGCATCGTAAAGTCTTAAGCGGGTATGTAGTTGCCTCCCTGTAAATGCACTCAAAGTTATGCTCAGTCAATTTTGGTTGTGTGCATGTCTAACATTATTGTCGACCGTTTTCACATTGAAGTCAGAAACTCGACAAGTTTATTTTGATGAGACAGCCTAAAATTATGTTAATCTTTTCAACTATGTGATTTTGTAATTGGTTTGAAAGAATGAAAGAAAGAAATCCAATTCAATAAAAAAATACAGCTATTAGAAGTGAATTGACAATTCTATTTCCCTTCAAAAAGTACAACAGACAGACATTTAAAGAATAGCCTACTGTGTGGCCCAACCCCTTTGCCTAGAAAGCTAATGTAGTTTGGCATCTACAAGATGTATTTTTATGTGTAATAGAGCACTTCATCAAACCATTTCCTATTGAGATTTGGGTGTATGGTCAATAGGTACCTCCTATACGAGTGCTTATTCAGTAGAACAAGGCAGAACTATCAAATAAAATACAAGATGACTGGGTTATAAACATCCCACCTCATAGCACAAAAACTAAGTTAAATTTGTTTCCATGGAAACACAACAATTATTTCTCACCAGAGACATTTCTAATTAGCTAATATCACAACTACTATAATAGGTTGATGTGCCTACAAAGTCTCATACAGAAATCTTGAATGGTTCCTGGAGATATGCTCTGGAAACAAAGTCGAGACTTACAGACAGACAGAGCCCATTTCAATATCCTCTCACTTCAGGTCATTTGTCACAGGATATTAAAAAACTACAAACAATTTAGAAAAGGTGCCAGAAAAACAGACAGACCATATCAGTACTTACAGTTAACCAGTTTTTCTTCTTTTGGCATATTGAAGAGTTTTCTGAACTTTCTGGTAGCAGTAACAAATCTCTGTGTCTCATCATCTAAATGATAATTATATAAATATTACATTCATTGGTTTAACCAATAAGGTATTAAACAAAAGCCTCAATAAAAGGAAAAGAAATGGGATTTAATATCCTACTTTTCTGCACCAATTAGACTTATGTAGAAATGAATACACTATTCAGTATGCTATGAGGTACATTTTGCCTGTACAGCAGCATTTCTGACTACTCTTACTCTGCATAAATTTCCAACTGTTATGGGTTCTTTTATGTGCACATCAACAAGTACATGTTTGGACTGGAGTTCTCATCCTCTCAGAACGAACAGACGTTTCCTTTCCGGGTCTTCTCTATCCTGCACCACTGACACAGCTAAAGCAGGCAGAAAAATCCTGAGAAACTTTCTATGTCAACACAGGGATCGTACACAGAACATCCTGGAATAGTGAACTAATGCAAAACTCACTGATCCAACGTGGATTACTACTTTAAATTTTGATTATTGATATATCTGTTAATTATTTTTTGCGCTATCAATTATTCACTTGTAGATTCAGTCTACGTTGAATGTATTTTCACTATTCTATTGCGCAATTAAATATTTTACAGATTCTTCCTGTTGATAGCAGTTATCATTTACAGTCTGAACATATAATATAATTTGACATGGTAGTCTGATAGAGCTTGATTAACAAATACAGTGAGAAACATTAGCATTGGAATAGGATGTTATCGCTGTGCTGTATGCTTTGAACTGAAGTGGTATTTTGCCACTAGTGCAGACATAATAAGAGAACAATGGTGTTAAAATCTGTGGTCTAGTTTATAGTTAATGAAAGCTGAAAGCTATAGATTCACAACTGCAAAAATTCTAACAAATATAAACCATTGGAATTTGTTTTTTCATGAGCTGATCAAAGAATTGTTACATTTGAAAATTTCCTCTATAAATTAGTCTTGCTTTGGTTTTAATAATAAAAAGACAACTGTATAAACACTGTATTGCATTTTGTGGGCCATGTTAGATTTGTATTGATTTACTTGCATGTATTAGTCAATATTTTCTCACACTCTCACCTTCCTTGATTTCAACAATATTAGCCACCAGACTTTCTATCTTACATCGTACAAAATCAGTTGCTTCTTCATCATTCTCAAACGCAGCTGTAAATATACAAAACACTCATCTTCACATTCTTACATTTTTTATCTGAATATCTGTATAATTTTCAGAATCCCCATAAGATTCTCATCAACCTAAATATTATACTGAACTAAGGCTGCATGTCTACAGTTAGCTCTGCTTTAGAACATACACTAAGTTGACCAATATTTTAAGTCCTAAATCGACGATTTTAGTTGAAAACACTCTAAGAATTTTGAGAAGTATTTATTCCACATAGATTCAATAAAATTGAAAAGGTTTATCTGTTCTTTGCATGTATGACAGATGTGAAATGGAGTAGAATTGCATTACAAAATGACAGTACTAGACTCATTTTTTTGATGTGGTGGTCATTCAGGGCAGAGGATCTTTGAAATATTAAGTAGATGGGTCTCTGTGTCCAGAATACCAAAACATTTGCAAAAATTTGATATGTTTGAATTGATAAATTGTGTTAATGATATTTAGTAATTGAACTGGAAATACACAGGTCACAAGGTCACAGGGTCACAATTCTATGAAATAAACAGTAATTGTATTGCACAGAACTGTGCGATGTGTACTGTTTGACTGATCAGTTCTTAGAATAAATATCCTTTATTTCAATGAAAGGTTAATCTCAAATTTAGTTCTTAATCAATTTAGTCATGTATTCAGATAATTCTCCTGCATGAATTCAGCACAAATCCTACAAAAATATATCAATTTTCAGGCCTGCATTTATAAACCTTACTAGTCTAAATTAAAACAAAATTTATTTACCATACCAACCATTCAAAAAATATCAAGTTTTCCAGAAAGAGGAAGTACCCAACCCTGTGTCATGCATATACTCAATTCTAATAAGCTTTTGTATTTTGCAATTAGTTTCTTTTATATTTACCTAGTGTTTGCATCAAATTTTGTTCTATCCATTCCCAATCTTTACTAATTTCCTTCTTATTGTTGGCTTCAGATATATCTGTAAATATTATGAAGGGATAAAATGTCAAATATACAGCAAGAAAAAAATCTGATGTTCGTTATAGTCATCATGCGTCCACAAACTCGCCAATTTTACTAATATTTTCAGAAACAATCAAGAGATCTTAAAGTAACAGCGCATGCTTTGCATTCTACAGAAAATATAAAATTTCTTACAACTTAATCCTTGCTAAAATATACTCAGATTGATTATTTAACATTTAATTAAGAAAACAAAATCAAAATATAAACGATAGATAATCTTCTGGCTTTGATTCAATCAGATTAAAAACAGGCCCATCCATTAGATTTCACAAAACATAAACATAGATCGATGGAATTTCAGTTCATCGTATCTCTGTAAATACTGAATGGAATTGAACCATTTTTGGACTGATATTTTCATTAGAAATTCAACTTTTACAATATTGTAGTTTACTTGCTTTTATGAAACCCACAAAAATATTTTTGTTCCTGTAACCAACACACACAGAAAGATACAGAATGTTAAAGAATATTAATCTGTTCGGTACCTATTCTACACCATTCCCCGCAACTACCTTATCTCAATACAATACTTCCCCAAAGTTTGGTTGGTTTGGTTATAGGAACCATAAATATATATTTTAATATGAATAGGCTTCTGGCCCCTAAATTCACAAAGCATTCTCAGATTTAAGAATTTACTCAACTTTCAATCATTGTTTTATGAGAAATATCTTTGATCATGAAACACAAAACTTTGCACAAAGTTTCTTATATAGATGTATTTGATACATTAAAACAAAAGTTTTACAAAGAGCTATATTTTAGTTAAAATAAGGCGAACACTTTTGAGTAAATTCTTAACTTCAGTCTGAGAAAACTTTGTGAACTCAAGGCCTGATTGGAATACTTACAGTAACTTAATTCTGAACCAGGTGTTTGATGTAATATCCTATATGGTGGGGTCTGAAATGAATAGTTAAAATCCAAGGATGACAGTGTGTTAACAATGTTGATACAAATGGATAACTTTAGTCTGTAGAGTAAGTAGGTGGTCGAACTCTGAACTGATGACTTTAATTACAAATCAGGTATGACTAAGATTAACAGTAAATTATTCGTAGACATTTTGTGGCAGCATAAGAAATACAATTTAGTTTAAAATTATTGACAATGCCTACATGACAAACGTTTAACTGTATACCCAGTAATCTATAAATTCTTGTTTCCCATTCAGTACCAAAAGGGCACTCTTATTCTTATTTTTAAAAAAGGGGTAATGATGCAATAAATTATTTCAATATTCCTACCTTACTATCTAAAACTGTATCAATAGTTCCAACCAACAAACCAGCTAATCCTCCCCCACCATAACCCTTTCTCTTCTGTAGTACAAAATATGGGTTTGCTCTTTCATTCACCCTGAAATAATATTACTATTAGCTAAGGAATTCAGGTAGTAGATCAACAGCTGTCATTGAAAGAATCTATCAGAGGCCAAGGATAGGTTGATATACATATTTTGGTGTCTCTGTTGCTTAGAGATAAACAATTCCAGTCCATATACATGTACTCCCACACCAGGATTACAAATAGCACTTCATATTTTCATTTCTGCTGGGTGTATAGTAGGCACTAATAATTAAATTTCACCGAGGAACATTTTTAATGTGACAGTTAATACAAACTGGTAATATCTAATTGAATTTTTTTGGGGGGGGGGGGGGAGGGGGGGGGTAAATTGTTTCTGTCCTTCATTTCATTTCCTAATATAGAGTCAGCATATACTTTATAATTTACAATGAAAACTAGTTGTGTTATATTGAACATCCCCAAAATTGGCTTATAAACTTTAATGTACTTTTTAACAGGTAGGTAACTTGCTTTACTTCTGGCCAGACTTTTCTGTCATTTAAGTCCATAAGACATGCACATAGGAGGTGCTCGACTGTCTTTCCATAACATCCCTAATTGACAGAATTACAATTGGAGATAGGTGTGCCTTCTCAACCTCGTTGGTTTACTCCGGGTACTGCATTTTCCTCATACAGGAAAGACCTCTGTGCATGTGCTAAGATAATATAGAGCAAAGCTCTCTTCTGGTAAAATTCAGACCGGAACCATCTCAAACCAGATACACTGAGCAAAACAGGCAATGCACATGTCAACATAGTCAAAGTTATCTCCCCTCTATTAAATCTCGTCCAAGCGTATAATCAATGACGTCACATATATATGACGTCAATGAAAATAATTCTCACACTTTTTTGTTCTTTTTCTAAACAAAATTAATCAGTAACTTATCGAATACTCATACACTTTAGATCTAAATTAAAATCAATTTGGAAAAACGAAATTATTCAACATTTCAGCATCACTTGAGAAGGTTTTATATTTGACAACAATCAGCTTCGCCTACTCAGGCAATGCCTGTTACATATTAAAAATAGGGCAACTTGTCTATGATATCACCAAAAACAACAACACAAAAGTAAATAAGTAAAAGAAATTGAAGTCATTGCAATGATTCATGAATTTAAGTTTTAGGAGGGGTTCACTTGTTTTGGAAAGCCCAAAGTCTTTTCTCCGAAAAACTTACCAAAGGGCATTTGCAAGTAGCACCTCCTCAGGCTTAACCCACATTGTATTTGCTAATTAGATAACCAAATCATACAAACATTATCTATTTATTGGCCATTTATCTGAACAAAGTTCCTGGTGGATGTGGCCAAATTTGTCAACAACAATATTATTATCTACTTCCGCCAGCCTGTCACATGATCCTTCACGTGACACTTATGTTTTGATTTGTAAAAGTTTCTATTTTCAGTCAGTGTGAAGCTCAAATAATACATCGCATGTATCAATCCCATTGATCCCTTACTTGCTCAACCTATCAAAATATAAATCAATGCACCAAATGCAACAGCAGACGATATTTTATTAAAAAATTTATTTTTATTGATGTTCAAGACTACAGAATATTTCCGTCTTATAACTTAGTCTAAATTGATGTCTGGGATACAGTAGGGTCACTTCCGATCGACCTTTCACTACAATCCGCCATCATGGGTCGTATGCACAATTTTGGGTACGTGAATAAATGCTGTTCATTCCACATAATATGGCCTTTTATCGTTTTAAATATTCTTCCTTGTAATAAATAAACAATTCGTCTTTCTTTTGTATTAAAATATATGCGTGGAAAAGGGGGTAATTTATGAATAAATGGGTGTTGTCCTATCAGACATGGAAGTTTTGAACAACACGTGTTTGATTGGTTTCAAAGAGTCGCCATAGACTTTACACAGAGAGAGAATCAGTGAGGTCCTGAGGTAGTTTACCGAGTCCATGCCATGATCATCGTAATGAAATTGATAAATTGTTTCCTACCACTTTGTTTCTACCATGTAAACACAATCAAAAGTCACGTGTTTACACTAATCGGAGAGAGCCGACTTGTCCATTTCGTTGACTTTCCGTAAACCAAGGCCAAGCCAAATTATTTTAAATTTTTATACTTCTCTTAGATTTATATCGTTTAAATTTCTGATGATAATTCTGATTCAAAAGTCATAATGTATTGACATTAAAATTTTAATTTCGCACTGTCTCTATAAAAGTGCCCTTTTCAATATTGCCAATATTGGTCACAATGTCATGTGTGACAGCTGACATTACAGATCCATTTGCATTTCAAAGATAAAGTGGAAATCATAACCAATGTATTTGAGAAGCATCGTGGTCATGGTATTTGAAGACTCCGCTAACTGGGATATGTCAACTGAAAGTGCACTGAGTAAAAGATATGCCACTGTCAGAACTTAGCTCCAACCTTGTGGGTTTTCTCCGGGTCCTCTGGTTTCCTCCCACTGCTAAAGACTCCTACGCGCAAGCAAATTAGTGAAATAAAATTAAAAAAACATATGTTAGTCCCGAAAGGTCTTAGCCAATGAGAATTTCTTTGTAAAATATTAATTTTTATTTCTTTTTTTTTTTTGTAGAAAGGGTATTTCCAAATCTGCTCTACCATACAGGCGTACTGTTCCAACTGTAAGTATTCAGTAGCAAATAGATTTTTCTATGCAGTACCAGTACTGTACCGTACTAGGCAAATTTGATAAAATATCAATATTTAAATGTTAGAAATTTAACCGGATAGGCTAGGATGCTTGTATCAAAATTAAAGATTTACTGGAGACAAACAAAATGATAATAAGACATTCATGTAATAGTATTGTGTTTCTCTTTTTCAGTGGTTGAAATTATCTGCTGAAGATGTTCAGGAACAGATTTATAAATTGGCTAAAAAGGGGTTGACACCATCACAAATTGGTAGGTTTACGAAAAATTAAAAATTTCATCCAGATAAGTCATACATGCTGCAGATGTTCCTCGTAAAATGGCACCTATGCATATGATTTAACTTGGGCAAAATATGTAAGATTTCTTCATTCATCATTGAATAGCAATTCTTTATAAATCACTTGATGAATCTGCTTAAAAGCCAGTCATAAAGTAGCTACTGTGTGAACCGTGGTAAATAATAAACGGATTTCTTTGATTATGAGCAAACTACTATACTTTGGTTATTATAAACTTACCTGTGTGTTTGAAATTACCTCCGGTTATATAAATCCATTGTACAACTATATGTCCTAGCGAATAAAAAAAGTTCTCTCTTGTAAAATTGAACTCATCACAAACTTTGACACCGAGAAATAACCAAAATGGAAGCTAATTACGTCACTTATCGGGATATATCATTTCGTATAGGGGGGGGTCAAAGCAAGGCTTGTCTGTCGTAACGGTTGTGTATGAATAAGCTATTTTTCTCGGAACCCAGTAATGAGTTTGGGCGTTTAATAACATAAATACGCCCGTAGTCCGGTATTTTGTTTCCCTCTTGTATTATAATTATTTGGTTAGAGAGTTTGGTTTCTTTTGAACTATATTTGTTTTACTGACCTTGAATTAATTTCACCCTTGAATATTTTTAATATTTCCTGATGAACTTCAGCTGTCCTGTCAATTAACCTCAGCAATCTGCTGTAGCCGAGGTAAATGCCGATGTATTTTACATTTGCCTAGACAACATTAATAGCCGAGGCCATTGAATCATTGGCAGAACAGTAGGACGTTAAACCCCATTTCATTTCATTTCCATTGAATAGGTATAGGCCTATAACGTTATATTTTTTTTTTATATACACAACTACCAAAAATTATTACCAACAATTAATCATACCGCACACCGGATTAATTATCGGCAGATAGTACAGTTTCTTTCTATTTCGCTCTGAATATTATTTCCGGTGTGCAAAAAACTGTTTAGAAAAATTTATAATCGTACGTGATCGGTAACACAATTATTTTGTAAATTCCCGGCTTTGTTTTGAAATTCACAAGGCAATAGTCATGTCAAACGGTGACGCTATATTCTTATCTGGAGAGCAAGCCCAATAAATAATATCGGCGTAGACTGGAAAAACCAGACGCTAGAGATTAAAATTCGATTGAGAATACTGGCATGTTTCGCCGAACCTAACCGATTAAAAATTACAGTAAAAACAGAAACGATTGAATGTAAATCAATTTATATACATTCATATTACATTATTGTATGCGTTACGACCCATTTGTGTCAATTTCTAGGTCCAAAATATTAGTGACTTAGCTCCTTTAAGCTTGATGCTAGAATTCCTGTGTCACAAAAGAAGCAGTTTGATCAGTGAGTAAGGTACTCGCTGACTTCAGGAGGGCTAGGATTGGATCCTGGTGTTGGCCGAGAAAATTGCTCTGGATTATCCAGGGTGCTTTCCCCTTGAGCTATATCTAGTTTAAAACAAAGCATATTAAGAATGATATGGAGGCTGGAAACTTACTAATTGAAAACCCTTAACCTTGGTCTGGGAAAATGTACTAAGCTCCAGTTAGTGAATATAATTGTAAAGTGATTAATTCTTGCAAATCATGTTTGCACATTCAAGATAATGTTAAAATTAATTGTGTTGTTTAATGTTTCAGGTGTAATTTTACGAGATTCACATGGAGTTGCCCAGGTTAGATATGTATCCGGTAACAAGATCCTCCGTATCTTGAAATCTAAAGGACTGGCCCCTGATATTCCAGAAGATCTTTATCATTTGATCAAGAGAGCTGTGGTCATCAGAAAACATTTAGAAAAATGCCGAAAGGTGAACTATTTAATTTATTAAACCTGGATTGATCACCTCAAGTTTTTGTGAATAAGGATTCAGGGGAAGATGGCATTGCTTAAATCTGTTTGATCTTTTAATGGCTTCAAACCCAAATGTGCTGTTAGTTCCGTTCATTATAAGTCATGCACAAAGCAGGTTGTGTTTAATCTTTCTAGAACAACTGATAATGCTTCTCATTTTAGGTAAATGGCTGGCAAATTGTATCAATCTTTGCTTCCAATAGTTGAGCCATTCAAAGTGTGATTTCTTGGAGAATCTGTTTTATATCTAGTTACATTGACCCATATGATTACACTGGGAGGTGATGTAGGACAGATTAGGTGTAAATCCAACATATGAGTGGGGGGTGGTGATTGTCCTAGATATTCTACTTAATTGCCACTGGGCACTTCAAAATATTTAAAAAGAAAATTATTAATTCAATTTTGCAGGACAAGAATGCTAAATTCAGGATGATCTTGATTGAAAGCAGAATTCACCGTCTGTCACGTTATTACAAATCCAAAAGAGTTTTACCACCAAATTGGAAATAGTAAGTTATTAATCTTGACTTTTAATATACACAATGACCTCTCTTGTAGGATTGTGCAAGTTTTGTGGTTCGTTAAGTTTTGACACGACTCACAAGCCAGACTCCACAAGGTTCGATGATGCCTGGCCTCGAGTTCACAAAGCATTCTCAGACTTAAGTTAAAAATTCACTCAACTTTCAATCACTGTTTATGAGAAATATCTTTGATTCAGAAATACAAAAATTTGCTCATAGTTTCTTAATGATGTATTTGATACATTAAACAAGAGTTATTAAGGGCTATATTTTAGTTAAAATAACCAAACAATTTTGGGTAAATTCGTAAGTCTGAGAATACTTTGTAAACTTGGGGCCTGGTTTGGCCTTGTCAGTGGTTAAGCTATTGTTTGCAAGGAAAAGCTTTTAGTCGTTCCTATCTGACAAAAAAGACGAGTTTAAGCATCTACTGTTGGCAGCATGTGAAAAATTCCCTGACTGATGGAATTCAGGGTAAGAGTAGGCAGGCTGTAGTGTTACTGTTTGAACGAAATAGCCCTTCCTAGCACAGTGCATAGCATATAACTGTTTTCGATAACTCCGTTGCTATATATTTGAGTGAATATATATACCATATATAATTGATGGTAAAATTTAATTAAACAATTCTTTTTCTTTTTCAGTGAATCTGCCACAGCTTCAGCCTTGGTTGCATAAATTTAAAAAATGTACCGGTAATAAATAAGCAAAAAAATTATTACGACAACTGTTTTTGTCTTCTGTTATTCACAATATTGAGAGGGTGATAGGGGTCATAAAATACTGGAGTGGGTGGGAAATTTAATTTTGCCATGAGCTAAATTTCACTCATCTTAAAGGGAATAAAGCTTGGTGCTTGTCAGTATGGTTCTATCTGAATATAGGTCCGGTGTACACATTAGCGTGCACGTAAAAGATCCTTTGCAGTTGGAATTCGATATCAGGGTAGGTTGTTGCACCACTGTCCGTGAAAAATTTCCCTCATAACTCACTGTATGGCGTATGCCCATCTTTATTAGCCAAGTCGGAACAGAATATTAGGACTTTAAATCCCATTTAATTTCTATCTGCAGATGTGATGCCCGTTTTCATTAGCCCAGGCAGTACAGAACAGTAGGACTTGAAAACCCCCATTTCATTTCACTATCTACACATTTATATACATTATTTTTTTAAAAAATCCTTCCGATGCCCATGAACTGATAATATAATTTGAGATCTTAATCCTTATGAAGTGGTTAGTTCCTTAGTTGCCAGCAGTTAAGGACAAGGATCTTCATTTTGACGGGTATGAAAAACTATTCAAGATCACTTGGCACTAGTAGAGTAGATAAAATTCTGTCTCCCCCTACCGAGACTGTCCATGTTTAAATTAAGACAGTGTATGAACGTTTGCTTTGGAATACCAATTAGAGTGGACAAACTGTTACTTTCCAGCAACACACATCCCTCTCTATTTGCGGATTCCACATTTATCCAAAGAAATAAAAGATTACCGTAAGTAAGTACTAAATTATATCCCTTTCCATTTCACTCACTGGGAATTTATTGTAAGACTTGTTAACAAGTAGCATGTAAAGGGTTTGTTCGATTGTTGCTCCAGTAATTCCGCTTTTATGTAATTGAACGAGAATTGTGATTTGTGGTGCATATCTGGACCTGAATATTAGTGCCTCAAGTACTTTAACTGCTGTGTATTTCGTTGCCTGACAACCTATCGCTTTCTAAGCGATCATTAGAAAATGAAATATATTCCGATTTCAGCTAAATAGATCTACATTACTGTTTGCCCTTATTACCTGCCACCAGTTGAAATTAATTATTGAGATTTAAGAAATTAGATCCGCCTGAACTAAAATAAAGAGCTGCATATGGTTGCTTATACATGTATATACGTCAGTATTATATTACTGTATATTGACTTACATCTATGAACACTATTTACATATATATTATATATCGGATTATATGCATGGGCGTCACACATGGGGGGTCCGACCCCTCCAATTGTATAATTTAAGATTCTATCTATATAAAACCTGTACATATCCCAATATGATTTATAGACAGCAAGGCCACACAGTGTTTGTTTATATTTTTTATGGGTTTTAAAAAATGGGTAAGGGTTAGGGTTGCGGACCCCCCCCCCCCCCCAATATATATTTCACGGCTACGCCTCTGATTATATGTAGTGGATCTCAACCAGTTTCAGCAAATATGGTTATAATATCGAAAGAAGAACTTTTATGCACCTAACCCTCGGCGCCATAATTCCCTGAGATAGGTAGATGGGGGGGGGGGGAATAAAGCCTAAAACCCGTTTTCCATGTAAGCTTTTCCTTGCGCGTTTTCGCTGGGTGAATGGAAACGGCCATTACATTTGCATTAGACCGACTTCTTTGTTGGTGAAAACGTGTACATGGAAGTCGAGAACATAATGTTTAAAGGAGCTAAGTCTCCAACTCAATATTTTCCGTACTATTCGAAATTAAAAATACGAATTAGAATTCAATATTGATCAATTTCAATCAATATTGATGTTGTTAACTTGCCGTGAAACTATAGGACCTAATACCCAATATTTAAGACAATTAACATTTTATAATCAGTACACGAGTCATGTACCCTATAGAGCAGGGATGGCCAAACGTGGCGCATTGGATGAGTTGAAGAGAAGCATTGCATCCCCGTGATAATTATAATGTATGGTAAAGCAGTAAGCCCACTCATTATTTTTTAGCGATTTTATTATTTAGTGCTCAGCCTTTTTACGGATTGTTATCTTCTTTCAAATTAGGATAGACTTTGGGTCATTGAAGTAGATGAGGTTACAAAAGTTGTATGGCGCATCTAAATTTTTGTGTGAACAAATTGGCGCATGATATGTAAAAGGTTCGCCATCCCTAGCCTAGAGCAAAGCCGTTTATATTTTCGATTGAAGTGGGGCGAAATCATTTGTACTAAATGGATTATATCTCTGGATATAAGTGCACTTTCAGATTAACATTTGGCTTGATAAGAATCGAAAGGAACCTGCTTTTGTAGAAAGTCAGCGATATAATGTAGAAGTCTTGGTTGAAAAATGGTATGAAAGTCCGGCACAATAGCCGACAGCCCACATCCCAAAAAATAAATATATTACCGTTTTTAAATTGGCATAGAACATGTTAGAGAACAATATCGAACCCATAAGAGTAGATGCTGGCCATGCGGTAAAATTCGCACCTCATAAGAAAATATAACAACCTATTAACAGCAGCTATTTTATGTAAAAAAAATATATATATTTCAGTGAAACTGCCCTTTTCTGTCTCTCTTCGCAAACTTTAACATAATTTTGGGGGACGGGGGTGTAAATAAGCACCATTTTTTTCATTCGGATGTGTGTTATGAAAAAGGATTCAACCATTTTAATATGTTGTATTGAATAGTTGTTCGAGGCACCGTATAAAATATTTTTTAACAGAAATTGAGCGGACGTTCTTTAAGCTATAGATTTTTGATATTTCGCAAAACTTGTTGTGAATTAATGCACCCGGATAAATGCACTTAGGGGCCATCATTATAGCGCACATCTAAGAGCATCGCCCAGAGACGACTGTTAAAAACCGAATTGCTGCCTGTGAAAAGGTTCCAACTAGGTAACCAGGCATTGGCATCCGTATATTGTTATTTTTAAAAATAGGCTTGTTTGTAAATATATTTATTTGATACCTAAAAATCGTATAGTTTGTTGAGTCATGCACCAGTTGTATAATGTAGTTAGCTTTTGCAGTCGAAATAACGTGACCTATTTTTTTCCAAATCTCGAGCTTAGGCGGTGTCATACTGTTTGTTAACCCATAATAAAATATACCGGCTATATATTGAACTTTTTAAGTGTTGAAATGTCTAAACGTTTGGAATGCAGAAACGGTAATGCGTAAAATCTTAATGCATTTAATATAATATAAAAATTGTACTAAGGGGGCAATTTTGCCCGAACAGCGGCGCTGCGGCCTACTCTTATTTCGAATTTCACTTTCAAGAATTATTTTATGTGCACGCCAACGCGTTGTCTTCAGTCCGGCGATAAGTGGTATAGGGGTGGGGGGGGATGCTCTTGATCAGGATTCGTTTATTTTCTAGCAATATAGTTTTCGGTGGTTATGATTTTTTACTGGGATGAATGGCGTCATTCTTTGGATGTGATTAAATCTTACGGTAAACAAATGTGTATTGAAGAATATTGACCTCCCATTACTGAATTTAAATTGGCTCTTGAAAAGAAGCAAAAGTATAATAAGAACCCTGAATGAATTCTGTCATACATGGGATATAATCAATGAATACAAGGACAGATAACTCGTCCCATACGTATTAAAGTGGTCAGTACATTTTATCATATCAACCCCGGTTCAGCAAACAGTTGTTTCCTTGTTAACAGCAGGACGTTAAACCCAAGTTCATTTCATTTCTTGCATTCTACCACAGAAAAGTCCCTCCCCCACCCGTATATCATTGGCCGAAAGTCCCCCTACAGTTTTAATATTGGAGTGGAGGTTTGAAATTTTAATGTCCAAGTCTAACGCATATTTCACTTTATTATCAGTTATATAAAATTAATATAAGATAGATTATTTCTGAATCCATTGTATTCTCTTCCAGAACAAAATGAGAAGTGAAATTTTAATGCCTAAGTCTAACCGTTCTTAACTTTATTATGAGTTATATCAAACTGATCTAAAAGAAATTTTTTCTGATTTCAATACATTCTCTTCCAGAACAAAATGAGCGCCAATGGTGCTCTTCAGCTGTATAGTTCCTGGTTTTGCCCATTCGCACAGCGTGCCTGGATTGCTCTGCTGGAAAAGGCGGTAAACTTTCAATATGTGGAGATAGATCCTTACAATAAATCTGCCGAATTCCTGGCCAAGAATCCACGGGGGCTGGTTCCCGTTATCATTAATAATAGCCAATGTGTTTACGAATCCCAGATTTGTATAGAGTATGCAGATGAAGAATGGAAGGGACAGGGTAACCCGTTAATGCCGCCTGACCCTTACAATCGCGCAGTCGCCCGCATCTGGGCAGATTTCATCACCAAGAGAATTGTACCACCCTTCTACCAACTGCTAATGCGCCAAACCAATGACGAACAAGAAGAAGCCCAGAAAACTTTACTGGACAACTTGGAGACTTTAAGTAAAGAGATCACAGGACCTTATTTCATGGGTTCTGCGTTTGGTATGGTGGATGTTATGTTAGTGCCGTTCACGTTAAGATTCGCGATGATGAAGCATTACCGCAACTTCGAACTACCCAAAGGTCCAGCCTTCTCCAACCTCAAAAAATGGATGGAGGTTGTTCATAACCGAGAAAGTGTTAAGTCAACGATGGCGGACCATGATCGGTTAATAACTAAGTACCAGAGATATGCGGATGATTCAGCCAAATCTGAAGTTGCTGATGCCATAAGAAAGGGTAAAACTCTTCCTTAGTTTAACCGGAACCAATGCATTAAGCCACGGCTCTTGAGGTATATATAATAAGCTGTCTTGGAACGATTAAATTTAATGTAAACTGGTCAAGGAATTGTCCTTGTATAGCAAGGTAATACAGAACAAACCAATTTGCTAAGTGATGATTAAATATTTCTGTGTAAAAAATAAAAGAATGATTTAATGTGTGAAAAATAAAAGAATGATTTAATGTGTGAAAAATAAAAGAATGATTTAATGTGTGAAAAATAAAAGAATAATTTATTTATGAAAAATAAAATAATGACCATATATTTTCAAAGAAAGGGATAATTTAATAATTGAAAGAATATTGTCATGAAATGTGAAAATAATGATTGATCAATTGGCATGTAAACAGTGAATGAATATTAGCAATGTAAACAGTAAAAGAAATATTAGTTTGGAGCAGCTTGAGTCAAACAAACAAAAGACAATAAAATCCTATCTGAAAAATAGGTCATTTAGTTCATATAAGAAATTATTTCGCAATTTAACCCCGGGAAAAATAAAAGATTTTTTAGTTAATATAAGAAATTATTTCACAATTTAACCCCAGGAAATCCACCAAAACAAATTCTAGTTATAGTTGGCCAAGAATCTGGAAATTTCACATGTCTTCATACAATCACGTGACTTGTGGTGATTGGCTAATGATTTCTAGATTCGGGAGGGGGGGGGGTGGCTTCGGCAAAGCGGACTCACTGGGCGAATATAATTCGGCCGAATACATCAAACATGTTTGATTCGGGCGAATCATTCGGCTGAATATATAGAAATTCGACCGAATGACACTGGACACACTCTAGGCGAAATTCGGCGCCGATGGATTCGGCCGCATCATTCGGCTAGTGTGTCCATCGCTTTAGACCAATCGGTCGCTGAACCGACGTGCCGAAAAGTACGAGAATACCTTTAATGTCTATTTTTCACGTCTTAATCCACGCCAAAATCTACTCAAATTGACCATTTAACATTTAATTACGGAAACAAAATCAAACCATCAACTTATAGATAATCTCCCGGCTTGGAGACCCATCACTTGAAGGTGGCGTTGGCTTGTTTATATCCTCTGAAGTGAATGCTGCGTGTCGTTAAGCTTTCAATTCATCACTTCTGTGTACATACTGAAAGAAACTGAACCATTTTTGATTGATATTCCTTTTGGATGTTTAATATTTAGATATTGTACTTGGTGGTGAGGAAATGAAATGGGGTTTAACTCCAACTGTTCTGCTACGAATTGGGCTAATGGAGACGGGCATACGCCGTACAGTGGCCTACTCTTATTTCGAATTCCAACTTTCAAGGGATATTTTACGTGCACGCCAATGTGCACACGGGACCTCGGTTTTTCGTCCCATCCGAACGACTAGACTGCTGTCCTTGCCAGGCCCCCCGTCCTGCATCACTGACATGGGGGAACTTTCTCGGCCAATGCAGGGATCAAACACCCGACATCCAGGCTAGTGAGCCAGCCAGTCAAATGACGTTCAGTGACTTTAAAGCTGAATTTCAACATGAATACAAAACTTCACAAAGAATCCCAGGGTCAAGTTGAATCACGTTTTATTGAAATGTGACAACAATGCTCCCGTCAAAAGGCAACACCTAGTAACTCACGTTTTTCTTATTTTGAGAAAACAAAGGAAATCGTAATGAATGAATATTAAACCCCAGCATATCCATTGATTTGGTAGGCAAACGAAGGAAGTTGCTATGTTGTATCATGGGTGTAACTGCTTACAAAACCAAAAGATTGGAATATCTAGTACAACAACAGGAAGCACATACCCTAGTAACTACAAATTTGGCCTTAAGTTAATTTTCATTAAAAAAAAAAAGTGAGTTACTAGTTTTGGCTTTTGACGGGAGAATGGGGTTTAATGTCCACTCGACACAAACCAGGTCATTTTGGGACTAACATATGTGTCAATTTTATTTCTATAATTGGGTGTTTAGCAGTAGGAGGAAATCAGAGGACCAGGAGAAAACCCGAAAGTGTGGAAAGGCGACCCTACACCTTGTCATGTACAAGCGGGGAACCGGAACCACGCCAATTCGGCCAGCCAACCCGCTATGTGTTATTGACAGAGTAGACATACCCCGATTAATGCATAATTATATAGAAAATTGATTGATCATGTCTAATTATTTTAGTAAATTATATATTTCACTATTTATAGAAATATAGTTAAAGCATAGCCTTGTTGTCATGGAGTTCACTATTTACAGAAACATGGGAAACTATGGATTGTTATGACCAACATAAGTTAATAGGTGGCAATTAGAGTTGGATCTCTTTACCGCATTCAATTCAAAATTCAGTTTCCTGCCAGCTGTCTTATTTGCCCAATGATATTGCATCCTCTAAAATATTATATTCAGTAACATTCCATCATCTATCCAGTGGCAATCTATCATCTATAGGAGAGTTGGATGGCCGAATGGTTAGCACGTGCGCGCTGCGCTGTATCATACGGTCTGTCATTGAGTCAACTGGTGGGGTTTCGATTCCCCGGTTGTACGTGACAAGGAGTAGGGTCGCCTGTCCAAGCTCGTGGGTTTTCCCCGGGTCCTCCGGTTTCCTCCCACTGCTAAAGACCCCTACGCGCAAGCTAATTATTGAAATAAAATTGAACCATGTGTTAGTCCCGAAATGACCTTGTTTGTGTCGAGTAGACGTTAAACCCCATTTCTCTTTTTCTCTCTGTATCATCTATAATCCACTAAGTAACATTACATTCGTCTATCTAGTAACATTCATTCCCTTTGTTACAACCTGTCCGTTAAACGTTTATGTCCGGTAGCATTTTCCGCTCTAAATATCTATTCAATAACATTCCATCGTGGATATTGTGATCAGTAATATCCCAATCTCTGTGCTATGTCAAGTAACATTTTATTAACTTAAGTAACATCACCTTCTTTAACCTGTCCAGTATTATTCCATGCATCCTCGATTTTTTACAATAGGGGTTGATATTACAATTGGGGTTACACGGTATGACCCCTATTGTAATTATAATGTCTCTTAACCCCTATTGTAATACTAACACCTATTGTAATAATTATAATATTTTATATGAATATAAGAGTACTGGTGTGCGTTTATATGAAACAACACTACCGAAAACATGATTAAAAGCCGTTAACGAGTTTGAAGAAACTGTTAAAATGGAATGTCAACCCCTATTGCAATCATTGATATCTAAATGTACGTGAATATAATACTGTTATCTTATCGTGGCTTATAGATTTTAATTCACCAGAGCTGACAAGAGTGAACTGACAGAATCCGAGTCTAATCCTACCCGCGTCATTGGGTATCTACAATTCAGAAAATCACCTGTTTTCTTTAAATTCACAATAAAGTAACAGTAGTAATGTTGTATTTTTTGTTCTATTAATTTATACCAAAAGGTGAATACTCTGGAATATTTGCCGCCATAATTGGATTGTTGAAAATAACTTTGAATGCAATAATCAGACCCACTATCATCACCAACCTGTAAAAAGACACTACGCAAGACACCTTTGGTGTATTTCTGGGGAATTTATGCCGAAAAACAGCACTTTGGGGCAAAATTATGAGTGGAAACTTTCAGGGGGGCACGTACAAGGGGGTTAGAGGTGTCAGATCCCAAAAAGATTTTCCACATATGAATAATACCTCATATTTTGAATAGTTCTTCCTGTACAAGTTTCGATTTACCCCAACCCCGCGCAAATACTGTATTGTTAGTAACGTACCTTTCTTTTGGGGGTTATTACAGATGTTCAGTTTGGTTCCACTAGACACTCTTGAAAAGAAATGGGTTTCAACATCCTACTGTTCTGCTCCGACAAGGCTAATGACGACGGGCATACAGTGTACTATAAGGGTAATTATGCCCGGACAACAGGGTTATGCTCAGGGTTCTTTTACGTGATAGCCAATATGTACAATGTGTACACGAAATCTCGGTTTTTCATCCCATTCAAACTACTACTAATACGTTGTCTCTTGTCAGGCCCTCTTTCCAGCACCATTGACAAGGCGGGGGGGGGGGGGTCACGCCGGAAAACTTTCGATGAACTTTCTCGGCCAATACCGGGATCGAACACGGAATACTCCGAGCCAACATTGAACTTCAATATGAATACTAATGTGGACGTCAATAAGGTCTCCATTTTGATTTTTCTATGCTCATATATTGTTCTATAAGATTGATAATATACTCACTACATCCGCTATCATATAAGTAAATAAGGTTTAACACACACTTAAAGTAGCTAAGTCTCTAACTCAATATCATCCAAAATATTCGACATTGAAAACGCGAATTATTTGTCAATTCAAATCAACATTGGTCTTGTGATCTCACAGGGAAAAGATGGGCTTCTGATATCCAATATTCAAGACAAAATATACATTTTACAATTGGTAGACGAATCGTGTACCATAATGCGTTTCAGCGCCATTTGGAACAAGGAACTATTTTGGGCACTGAAAAACATAAATGAATAGTTTATGTGCTAAAAAAAATTGTTTTTGACATCTAGGCTTGGCGTCTGATGGTCACGGTTTTTGTTTTTTCAATTGTTTGCTTGCTTGAAATTTCCTGTCAAAATCGTGTACATCTGATTATTATATTTTATATCAGTAAAATCAAAATGTAGTGCACGTATGTCATATTACGTTGTTGTGTTAAATCCCAGTTTCAGTAACCTCCAGTTACCCCAGATATATATGCCAAAATGCGTTCAAAATGACGTCAGAGATCATGTATCTTTCAATAATTTCCAGCCCCGAGGGGAGAGACTCACCTCCTCTTGCCGAGTTGCTTGTCCCAGGATCCGGGTGCCTTGTCGCGGGCCCTGGGCGGGACATGACAAGCAGACGGTCAACGCCAAAATATACCACGTTCATTTCCAAGAAATCTCTTTAGACCACAAACCTTAGTTTCTACTACACTTGTCAGCAGTCTAATCTACAAACTGCGTCTAGACGGTAAGCATTGGGAAATTGGGTTTAAAGTCCATTCAACACAAACTAGGTCGTTTCGGGACTAACATAATGGTACAATTTTATTTCAATAATACGCATGCGCACATGGGTTTTTGTAGTGGGCGGAAACCGGAGATAGACATGCCACCCCTTGTCAATTGTGGGGTCGAATCCACGCTACTAAATTCAGCTTCAGCGTATGCCAGCGTACGTATTGGATAATTATTTCATACGTCGGAATAAGTTGTCCTAAAACGTTATAGTGTGACAGGCCCATTAGCACTTGATTCGATACATACCTTATGATCTAAAGCACATGCTTTAGACCCCCACCTCACCCCACCCCCTGGTGTCTAGACAGTATTTTATAGATTAGTTTTATAATACTAAACGTTGTTGTAGTTCGTTAATAATCAAACACAGCTTCAAAATTATTATAAAGAACCCACCGCCCACGCCCCTGTGTGAGAAATGCAGATAGAAATACCTTCACAGATAGATTTAACACATTTTGACAGGGGACAAAATATGAGAAATATTTGGCATCTTATTAACATTATCATTTGATCATGATTGTCATATTTTGAATTTAAATGTGAAAATAAAATATGACACACCGCCCAAGTGACATATCGCTTATAGCCACATCGAATTTTATGATCGACTACACCCATGCATACAATATGTATGTATTCATTAGTCAGCGTTTATCGATGTAGTCTAATTCAATTTTATAATTTAGTTAATCATGCGAATTTAGGTATGCGTTATGCAGAAAAATAGGATGTAAAACCACATTCCATTTGGTATATTACGGAAATAGAAACCTATTCTCAACAACATCCCTTTAAATATTAACACGTCATGAAAATAATCAGGCTATAATATTGTTCGCGATAAACACGTTGAGTTAGAAAAATCGATGATAACACCACCAATACCTCTGTTAAAACGCAGATGTGACTATATTCCTTCAGTGACTAACGGAAACTTTCAGGTGTTGCATACAATATATTAACGAAGTATTTATAGAATTGTCGTCAAAATGAGATTTGTAATAAGTTGTACCATTGCTGGTAAGTAGAAATTGAAAAGCATCGATTATCCATATTTTTAAATGTTAAAATTAGTGGTTTTGTATAGCATTTCAACATTTCATTTGTTTTTGTACATAAGTAAGTAGTCACGTTATGTTTTCTTTCACAAAGCATTTTCAGACGTTACTCAACTGTCAATCACTATTTATGAGAAATATCTTTGATCGAGAAACACGAAACTTTGCACCCAGTTTCTTATTGATGTATTTGATACATTAAAACAACAAAAGTTTTATAATTTTCCTTAAAATAAGGCGAACAATTTTGAGTAGATTCTTAATTTAAATCTAAGAATGTTTTGTAAACTCGGGGCCGGGTGATCAACGTAATCATTATTTGACGAACAACGAATGGGCCGATGGAAAGTGCCGATAGCAATATTCGATCAAATTATAATAACGCTAACATCTTACAAATACTTTATTATTAGCTGTGTACATGTTGAAATATTTTTAAATTTAGTGATGCATGAGAATCAAATTTTATGGATTGAGAATTCTTTGATAAAAGAATCATAGATAACAGATATTTTATTATTAAATGTATTGCAAATTGAGATGGGTATTGATAAATTAATTGATAAATTAACATATAGTTTACTAGACAAATAAATGAGAGAAATGAAATGAAATGAAATGAAATGGGGTTTAACGTCCTACTGTTTTGCTCCTAACTGGGCTAATGAAGACGGGCATACGCCATACAGTGTGCTATGAGGGAAATTTTGCCCGGACAGCGGCACTACGGCCTACTCTTATATCGAATTCCAACTGTCAAGGGATCTTTTACGTGCACGCCATTGTGTACACGGGACCTCGGTTTTTCGTCTCATCCGAATGACTAGACAGCTGTCCTTGTCAGGCCCTCCGTCCTGCATCACTGACAAGGGGGAATCACGCCGGAAAATCGGGATGAACTTTCTCGGCCAATGCAGGGATCGAACACCCGACCTCCAGACTAGCGAGCCAGCGCCTTACCCACTTAGCCACCGTGATCCCCAATAAATGAGAGAGAGAGGGAAATGGGGTTTAACGTCCACTCGACACAAACTAGGTCATTTCCGGACTAACATATGGTTTAATTTTATTTCAACAATTCGCTTGCACATAGGGGTCTTTAGCAGTGGGAGGAAACCGGAGGACCCGGAGAAAACCCACGAGGTTGGACAGGCGACCCTACTCCTTGTCACGTACAACCGGGGATGACAAATAAATGGAGGCAATAAACTTATGATAGTTTACTATACAAATGGAGATAATCAATCTGGTTAAAATATTTCGTTCGGTTTTTTTTATACTTTCGATGGCTGATTGAAACACAGGCCCCAAGTTTACAAATCATTCTTAGACTAAAGTTAAGAATTTTCTCAAAATTGTTCGCCTTATTTTAACTAAAATATAGCCCTTTATAAAACTTTTGTCTTTTTAATTTATCAAATACAAGAATAAGAACCGTATGTGCAAAGTTGTGTTTTTCTGGGACAAAGATATTTCTTATAAACAGTGATTGAAAGTTGAGTAAATTCTTAAATTAAGTCTGAGAATGCTTTGTGAACTCGGAGCCAGATTTATATTTCGTTTCGTTTTTTGTTGTTTTTTTTATAATTTCGATGGCCGGTTGTAGAGGGGGGTTGCATACAAGCGGCTTTCGAACCAATGGCGTCAGACATCTGATTAACCAATCAGCGATGATGTTTCTCGTGAAAAACCCACATTTCCGTGCACAGCATTCCAAGAACTCGTCGTAACAGACCGTTTATTTGGCTAATACATCATATCGACGAGAATGTGGGTTACATAACAGCTCTTCCGGATTCCTTGAGTAGTAAAAACAAGGAAAACGAAATTTTGAACTAATATACTTATAATAGTTTACTACACAAATAAATAGAGATAATATACACTTATTTATATTGTATGTATCCGGTGAGGGGTGAATGAGACGGATAAGGGCTTGTCATTGATTGAAATGGCAAAGTTTCGATACTTATTTATATTGTATGTATCCGGTGAGGGGTGAATGAGACGGATAAGGGCTTGTCATTGATTGAAATGGCAAGGTTTCGATACCATACACCTGGTGGACTTTCTTCGGTTCCTCCGGTTTCCCCCAACTGGTAAAGAACCCTACGCACCAGCAAATTATTTAGACCAATAAAATGATACACCCCCCTCTCTCTCTCTCCCTCTCTCCCTCTCCCCCTCTCTTGCTCTCTCTCTCACCCACTCCCTCTCTCTCTCTCTCTCTCTCCCTCTCTCCCTCTCCCCCCTCTCTTGCTCTCTCTCTCACCCACTCCCTCTCTCTCTCTCTCTGCATTGTTAACTTTAATTTAGAGAATAATTATATTATTGATTTTTTCTTTGGTTATAATAATTATAATTAACACTGTATGTGTCTATTACATTCATAGCGACATAGACAGTTTTATCATATTTCGCTACATTAATTTGTATTAATATGAAAATATTAAAACGCTGAAAGAGCGTGATTATAGAAAATTAATATAAATAATATTAATATGAAATCCAATTTTAAAGAAACCACCTTATCGGTAACTTACATTACAATGCGAGTGTGTTAAACTAAATCTTTCTTTTAACTGGGTTCATAAAAGAGGCGAGGGGAAGGGAGGGGGCTATGACTGTGAATAGCTTTATTAACGTCTGTTTTCACCGGTGGGATAGTGCAGGCGAGGTTGGGGAGATGATAGGTGTTGACCCAGTAGTCGGGGATCAATTAAGTCTCAAAACTAGCTTAGCTCGTGCGCGCTGTATCATAAGGCCTGTCATTGAGTCAACTGGCGTGGTTTCGAATCCCCGGTTGTACGTGACAAGGAGTAGGGTCGCCTGTCCAACCTCGTGGGTTTTCTCCGGGTCCTCCCACTGCTAAAGACCCCTACACGCAAGCGAATTATTGAAATAAAATTAAACCGTGTGTTAGTCCCGAAATGACCTAGTTTGTGTCGAGTGGACGTTAAAGCACATCTCTCTCTCTCTCTCTCTCTGTCTCTCTCTCTCTCTCTCTTATTATCGTAACAACGGTACTAGGTATCGATTGTTCATTTTATCGTTAAACTTTTAAAACTCACAGGTGTTCAAATCCATTTAAATCTCAGTCATCCGACGATCTACAGGGTTGATTATAGGCTTGTCTAGATAATAATTTATATAACATTTGAAGCCCAAAGAAAGATCAGCAATAAACAGATTAATAACTTGCCTAATTCATCTTTAAATCATATATGAATAAACAGTGATGTCTCTTTAAGTTGAACATCTGTGTAACATTAGGAAAAGGTCGATATTTATGAGTAGGCTATTATTCGTATGGTACAGTTGGCGACAGATTTTTTTACTACATCAAGTGTATGAATCAGCCTATGATAGTCTATCACATATCGAACTTCTATATATTGTGCAGTATTAACTGGCTTAATGCGTCATATTGCGTAATATAGCATGACAAATAACATTTTATCATTATTTTGAAAAGTTGTTTAACGTTTGACTAGGCTAATACGGTGTGCGATGAGGGAAATATACCCGGATGGCGATACTATAGCCTACCCTAGTCTTATTTCTAATTCTGTCAAGGGTTCTTTTACGTGAACGGCAACGTGTACACGGCTTTTTAGTTCCACCGAACGCCTATACGTTATCCCTTGGTAGGACCCCGTCCTACACCACTGACAAGGGGGAACCACGCTGACGAACTTTCCCAGTAATATGTTGCGCACCAATAGGTCATCATTTTCTGTTTGAAGGCCATTTCAATACAGTATATATTTACTGTTAATAATGCAAATTCCTTTGATAGAACGTGTCATTATTTTTTTTATTATTAATATTATTATTATTATTTTTTTTTTTTTTTTTTTTTTTGCTCTGCTCCGATACAATAGAACCAAATGAATATTATCAGACCCCGCTCACATCAATAATGTTTTTAAATCAATATGCTAATTTGTTATAATATATATAGTCACATTGACAATAAATACAGAATATGTAGGTGTAACATATGTCTATCGGTAGTTAACATCTCCCCAAAAGTTAGCAAATGTTTTATAACAAAATGTTACCTATATGCCTAGATAAAACAGTTACTGACAACTGTTGTTTATATATAGATACACTCTGTAAGAGCTTAATCTGCCTATTGCAGGTGTTTATTGGCGCGGTTTCGATTCCCCGGTTGCACGTGCCAAGGAGTAGGGTCGCCTGTCCAGCCTCGTGGGTTTTCTCCGGGTCCTCCGGTTTCCTCCCACTGCTAAAGACCCCTACGGGCAAGCGAATTATTGAAATTCTCTTAGACATTTATTAACATGACACGTCCATATTCAAGTCTCTAGACTATCGGATGGGAGATATTTTAATGGATTAGAACGCCCATGAGTTAAAAATTGATAATCAAGACTTAGTCTTGTTTGGCCAGTACCGTTGCTACGATAATAAACTTCGCGCAGAATAAGATAATTTGAATGACATTTTCGATATATTCATTTTTCATCATCTTTTTTTGAACTATTATAACAATCTCTAATCCCAAAAATGATCAGAGCTTCGCTTAGTCTCCGATAGTTTGGTCTTAATCTTCTATGGGTGACACCTTAGCAATCCCCATTTTCATGTGGACGTATATTGTTGTCGCCCCTGTCCGTCCGTCCATCCATCCACAATTTGTTTGTGGATACTCTACAGGTCACAATTCCTATCAGATTTTGACAAAACTTGACAAAAATTTATCTTCAAAAGATCTCAGTTCCTTTCGATATTGGCATGTATCGGATCGAAACTTCATCGATTATGATCCCAGATTGAACGAACAATCACGTTTTTAGCTTGTGGACAGTCTAGAGGTCACAATTTTTATCCGATTTAGATGAAACTTGAAGTATATGTTAATAACCCAAATATCTCGGTTCCTTGCGATATTTGCCCTTGTCGAACCACAACTTCATGGATTATGGCCCCTGATTG